CCTCTCTTTAAGAAGTCAATAAAATATATTTTTTAAAAAAAGGGGGAGGGGATATCTTGCTTTAGGGAATATCCTTAAATCTTGGCTCAAATTCTGATAGAGCTTTCTGCAGATTTGAACATTCTTTTATCAACAACCTTTAAATGTATTATAGAAGAAAGGCTGTTTTAAAGTGTCAGAAAATTTTTTTGCAATATTTAACTTATAACTTCTAAGAAAGGATATTTTTAGGACTCAAATTAGGACCTACTTATTCTATTTAACCCTTTGCACTCCGCTGTCCCCTCTTAGGGGACATCGGAATTCTAGCATATCACTCGGATGTCCCCTCTCAGGGGACATTGCAGTTTATTAGTGATTACGGGGAATTGAGTTAATTCAACGCACGTTTCGCAAAGTAGCGTCGAGTAGCTGGTAGCCAATGTCCAGAATGGTTCGGAGTGCAAAGGATTAAAAACTCATTTACAAATCAAATAGAAGGCTGTTCTCATCCCCATCAAAGTAAGATCTATTAAATATCCAATAGTAAGTTGAAAGAAGTTATTTCTGTGAATCAAAACTTTCTAACCTTTTAGGTAAAATTAATATAGGTAGATTTTCAAAGTGACTTGTAAAAATCGTCACTTGTACTTTGTATAACATCCTCCTCCCCCAACAGTTCCTCATCCCCCCATCCCCGCATTTTAAAATATATTTTTTATTTATTGCAGAAAGAAAAGGAGAGGGAGAGGCAGAAACAATAAGAATTATCGATTGACTGGCTGCCTCCTGTACGTCCCACTCTGGGGATCGAGCCCAAAACTTGGGTATGTGCCCTGACCAGGAATCAAACTCGTAACCTCCTAGTTCAAGGGTTGATGCTCAACCACTGTGCCAATAGCTTCTTTTTGGCGGGAGAAAAGTGGAAGTCAGCATTTGAAGATCTTTTTCACTCCCTTCAAGTGGTGAAATACCTGTGTTAGAATTTTAAAATTTCCTATTATTATGAACTAGTAGTTTGTCCCTATGTATCAATTTTACAGAGAAACACAAAGATTAAGTACAGAAGGCAGACTCAAACTAGTTTAAATTCTACTGAACAACATAGTTTTTCATTAAAAAAAATCCTTGTGGTAAAATATTCATAGTAAAAAATCAATCGATGCTTATTATTAAAACAAAGCACCAGTTGACTCTCTAAAATTAAACAAACAAGGACTATATCTCAGATGTCCTTCACAATAAGCAAAATCTCCATGGAGAGAGAAATTGTGATCTGATTAGCTAGCATTATTCTCAAAAACATGAGCCACCAGCATGTGAATTATGACTTAGTAAATTCACATCCAAATGACAGGGTGATATGTTTGTAAAAAGACTTCAATTATAAATTTACATGAGGTTATAAAAGACTTAAAAATATGTATATGATTATTTAAAAGGAGGTGCTCTATTTCAATAAGAAATTAGATAGTTGAACTCATGGTCATGTCCATAATTTTAATGGCTAATCTGATCACTTGATTCTCTCATTCATAACAAGTGCAGATAAACAGAAAATGGGTATATCTTCAGTTTAAACCTAAAAATGTTCTGTTCATCACATGAAGCAACTTATTTTTGGGATTCACATTTGAATATGCATTTGACAATGCATTTGTAGATCAGGGCTCAGCAAAAGGAGGAGTTCCTTCTTTCATTGTCTAGTCTCTCCATAAAACCCAAATTCAAAAGTTTAAATACTGCAGCATCATAAGACTTTAAAACGCAATTTCATAAAGAGTAAAGGTCTGACTACTCACTTTTTGGAGTGAAACTTTCTGAAAGCATTCCTAAGTTATGTTACAACCACACTATTATGTTATAGTAAAATGTGGAGCCTCTTTAGTTTAGAAAAGAAAGTTAAAACTACCCAGGCAAGAGGACATTTCCTCTTAGCATTTTCCAATTTCCTCCCCCTCCATTCAGAAAAGGTAGGTAGGACCTGTTAATTCAAAGAACAAAATGATTGCATTGCCAGATGCTATGTACAAATACATTTTGAATTTAATATGCTAGGTATATCTCAGTCCATTTATACATTTTGCCAAGGTCATATAAGTCACTGACTGTGCACTTGGGTTTCCTTATTGCTGGAAAGATCAAATGATTGGCATCTGGGAAAGCTTTCAATGAGTTGGAATTGAGTAAATCCTACCTCCCATATGCTTTCCTTGTTCATAAGCCCCCATTAAAGGTGTGATACTAGGCTCTCGTTTCCAAATCCAGAGGGATATCTCCTGGAGTTTTTGAATCAGAGATAAACACTGAAGTGTTTTTCTTTCTTTTTTTTTTTTTTTTTTTTAAATATATTTTTATTGATTTTACACAGAGAGGAATTGAGAGGGACAGAGAGTTAGAAACGTCGATGAGAGAGAAACACCGACCAGCTGCCTCTTGCACACCCCCCACTGGGGATGTGCCCGCAACCAAGATACATGCCCTTGACCGGAATCGAACCCGGGACCTTTCAGTCCGCAGGCCGACGCTCTATCCACTGAGCCAAACCAGTCCCGGCTGAAGTGTTTTTCTAATAGGCCAAGATTGTTTGAATTGCACTAAACTTTTGGGAGGATGCTCAATAAGTGAGCAGGTGGTGTATAAAGTTAGGATATCTTACAGCTGTCTATTAGACTTTAAGGAATACTTAGCTGGGATTCACCTGATTATATAGATGCCTGTTAATATGGTCACAGGACTTTAATCATAAAGTGTCACTGAATGTTATTTGGAGAGAATAACACTTTAAATACTGTTTTAAAAGATTAATATGGCACTGAATATATCAGTGAAAGTTTTGAGTATGTTAGAAATTCTGGCTTGGATGCCTTTAGAAAATATTATATATTTCCTGTTTAGTGCTACTTCCCTTTGTGATCCTTCTCAAAATTTATCATTATTGTCCTGTTTCAATTCTGAAGACAAATATGGAATAACAAACTGTCAGAAAAACAATATTTTAAGATACCAACATTAAACTTACTACTAAAAGTTCAACAAATGCTGGTGTGCAATAAATGCTGGTACAAAATAAAAAAATTAAATCGTATATATGCGATTATGAAAATTTGTTCAGTCTTTGGAGAATGTCAAATGCATATTCAAAACAACATTACCACCACCACCATAATTAACCTGAATACAAATTTGAAAAGATATAAGACTTTTTAACCATTAATTCATAATTTACACTCTAAAAAAGCATTAAATCTATATAGAAAGTGAGACACTATTGCTAGTAAGTTCTTCTCTCATATTTTAACTTTATCAATGTCTGAAAACCCAGTCAATTAGCCACAGAATATTTTCAAATTGTCATTTTAGGAAGCCATACTACATGGATAAAATCACGTACTCTAGGTTTAATTCATGGAAGATGATACCTTACAAAAAGTAACATTCTTTCAAGACAGCCATATCTTCGCCGAAACCGGTTTGGCTCAGTGGTAGAGCGTCAGTCTGCGGACTGAAGGGTCCCTGGTTCGGTTCCGGTCAAGGGCATGTACCTTGGTTGCGGGCACATCCCCGGTGGGGGTCGTGCAAGAGGCAGCTGGTCAATGTTTCTCTCTCGTCAACGTTTCTGGCTCTCTATCCCTCTCCCTTCCCTTTTTTAAAAACTCAATAAATAAATAAATAAATAAATAAATAAATAAATAGACAGCCATATTTTCATTCCATCAGCCTAAAGAGAAAAATGTTCTCAGCCAATTAGTGTTTTATAAATAAAGGTTTACTTTGGCAAACTAAAAATAATTCATATGTAAATATTTTATCAAATGTTAAATTAGCAGGAGGCACTATCTTAATCTAGTTTTCTTCTTTGATACTGACCAATAAAGAATTAATGAATGTCAGTTAAATTAGTTAGGTCTAGCCCATTAAGGAATATGCTTGCCCTCAGAAGACATCTTTTGTATCTTATTGGAAGGATATAAATGAAATTCAGAATTGAGTGAGATCCAAGAATCAATTTGAAAGTCTGACTCTTAAAAGTAGGAAATGGATGCTTCAAGGACAAAAATTAAAATTTCACTATAATTCTCACCAATTTCTTGTTCCCAAATTCCACAATACATTTTCATTCTGAATTATAAAGACAGATAAAAACAACAAAAACTAGTCCCTTTCAGAGTGTATTTTTTTTTTTTTTCTTTTAAATCCTCACATCAAATACTGCACACAACTGTATTTCATATTTCAGGTGTTCCACTAAAAACCATACTAACAATGAGTCTTCATATAAAGATCATCTGCACAATTAAAATAAGCAACAAAACCACAGATAGACATACAGTAAAACCAAATGTGTTCACTTACTTTCTCAGTGGAAGAAGTTCAATTAAGAAATGTATGAAAATGGCCTTGAAAATCTGCTATTCCAAACATCTCTACAGACAAGAAAAAAATAAATAAAAAACACTTGTTTTCTCATTTTTTCTTTAATACAATTGCCATCTTACATGACTATAGGTGCCTTCTTAATAGTGTCTAATCTAGTTCTTGTTGCACCAGTAGGCATCCTACAATAGAACTCCTATAACCATCCATGTTACTTCACTGTGGCCCAGCTGTTCTTAAGTACAGCACACCTAACTCATGGTTGGGCCATAATTAGTAGTGGTATTTTCTAAAAATGGATTAATGAACACATCCAAACCACATTAAAATTTCAACTTAGAATTCACACACAGTCTATTTCCTTTCAATAGTAATCATTCTAGATTACAGTTTTGAAATCCAGAAAGTAGGAATAATGTCTTTATTTTGTTGGTGGTGCTTCTTTCTTCTTTCTCTCTTCTTCCCTTTTTTTTATTAATCAGAAGTTTAAAAAAATGGGTTAAGAAAAACAAAATCTAGTAAACATCAAAAAATTATAGATCAACATTGTCACAAATTCTTCTTTGTAATGATGTTAAATTATTTACAAAATAATTTTTGAGAAAAAAAAAAATCTAAAAACCAGCACGCGCCAATGGTGCTACTTATTTAAGTAACTGGCGATCCTCTACACTTTTGAGGCGTTTCTTCCGAGGCTGTACAAAGTCATCGTCTGAGTCATCACTAAATTTATTATCTTCTGATTCATTCCTGAATTCAAGTTTAGGAAACCGTTTTTCTGGATAAAGGTTTTTTAGAAGTTCTTCGAAATAGCTTTCAAGCTTTATACCAGCGCTGGCTACTTCTGAATCAGGCTGTTGGGTAAAAATAAAAATATAAATTAAAATACTGACACCAACATTTAGACAGCCAAAAGTAGTAAATGTCTCACACTTTTGTTCCCTTTTAACTTGAAATTAGGAATACCAGTGGATTAATTTGGAAAAATATTTATACAATGTCATTGATATAAAATAAATAATAGTCTGGGGTTAAACAAAGTGTAGAGAAGGTCACATAAAAGGTAAACAAAAGACTATGACTCATCTGGCTTATTCTACAAGAGTATGGCAGTTGTAGGACTGGATTCCCAAACAAATAAAAAGATGTCATAATTATAGTATTATATAATAGGTATTTTCAGAACATATAAAATGTGGAACTCTGGAATGAGTAACCAATACATAGAACAAGACTAACAGCTATTTGGATTAATTGACAAATGAGAAAATATTAAAATTAAAGCTATTTAGACCACATCTTTAATATTTCAAGATCAATATAAAAAAAAACCCACTTAAGTATGGAAGTGCTATATTCTAAGAAATAAAGGTAAGAATGACAAAGAATGCTTCTAGGTTAGATAAAAATATTTTCTAAAGTGTTTTTAGTTGTCAGCTATAATTTGCATTTCCACTCATCATATAATAAATATTGGAATATAAATATGGATAAAATCATTTTCTGAAAGACTCAAACATTTGAAAATTCATGCTAACATAGATTATCTTAATGTCCTTGTTTGCTGATAAAATGTTTGGTTTAATCTTGCTTTCAATATTACTATTAGTCTCCCCTCCCCCTTTCACCTCACCTCATTGAATTCAGCACAGTTCTGAAAGATTAATCTAAAGTCAGCTACAAAATCCTCAGGCTTTGTATACATGTAATACTCTTCTTGTAGTCTTTTCTTGATAGTTGACAAGTCCATTGGGTTTTTAATTATTTTGTAATAATCAGGCACCTTTCGAAATAAGAGAGATACTATCATGTAAATTCTACCTCGTCCTAAATAAATTCTACAAGTAGTAGCATAAAATTCAAATTGTACTCTTTTGTCATTGCTAAGAAAACCTGTGCAGCATGTGCCTATAGCCTTCCACACAGTGGAAAATGTTTTGTATCACTTTTTTTTCAAAAAATTGCAACATTTATTTCTTGTTAATCCTCTCCCCAAGAATTTTCCCCCTGAAAGAGAGTAGAAGGGAGAGGGAGAGACAGAGAAACACCTATGTGAGAGTGACACATCTATCGATCGCATCCCACACATGCCCTGACCTAGGGCCAGGGATTGAGCTTGCAGCCAAGGTACGTGCCTTTGATTGGAATTGAATCTGGCACCCGTTGGTCCATGGACCAATGCTCTAATCACTGAGCAAATCAGCTAGAGCTTCACCAATTATTTTTTAATTCTATAAAATCACCTTTCCCTGCAAGACCTCCTTCTCTAATCTCCTTCATTATTAAACAGAAAGCAATTACTAGTCCTAGAGCAAGCATGTCAAGCTCAAAGGCTAACGTGGGCCAAATAAACAAGGTTTAAGTTTATGTGAGCTACAAAAAAACCCAAAGGCTTCAATTTTCCTTTTTTTTTTTTCTTTCTTTTTTTTGTTTTTAAATATATTTTATTGATTTTTTCAGAGAGGAAGGGAGATAGAGAGCTAGAAACGTCGATGAGAGAGAAACATCGACCAGCTGCCTGTTGCACACCCCCCACCGGGGATGTGCCCGCAACCAAGGTACATGCCCTTGACCGGAATCGAACCCGGGACCCTTCAGTCCGCAGGCCGACGCTCTACCACTGAGCCAAACCGGTTTTGGCCAAAGGCTTCAATTTTCATAGAAATTTAGGTTTATTTGGATAGAGACATGCTTAATACAAAGGGCTGAAATAAATGATCATTATCGTAAAATAGAACGTTGTAATAAAAATTAATATTCTTTTATTGAATATTAACTTACCAGACACTTAATAACTGCAAAAATTAATAAGTATAACAAAAAAAACCCTATTTTTCTTGTTTTTCCAAAAGCAAAAAATATTTCCTTTGCGCACATCAAAAAGTCAGTACAAGACTAATGATGTGGCAATTGGCTGCTAAAATATACGCTGCTAGTATTAGTGGAGATTGTGCAGTGAAGTCTCATCAAACTTTCAATATGCACCTTTCTGAAGTCAATTTGTTAACACACATGCAATGCACATGCACATCTTCTATTGTTGAAGTCTACTTAATCTTTGAAATATGGACATATACATTAAAATATGAACAGAGAATTTGGGGGGTATTTATCTCAAATGGGAAATTTCCCCCTCAACAGTTAAGGAGATATATACCTAAATATCCTAAGAGGCAAGTGATGGAGATCATTACAGAGAAAAGTAGGTAAAATACATGAGGTGTAAGAATGTATGAGAGCCAAAACCGGTTTGGCTCAGTGGTAGAGTGTCGGTCTGCGGACTGAAAGGTCCCAGGTTCGATTCTGGTCAGGGGCCTGTACGTTGGTTGCGGGCACATCCCCGATAGAGGGTTTGCCAAGAGGCAGCTGGTCGATGTTTCTCTCTCATTGATGTTTCTAGCTCTCTCTCTCCCTTCCTCTATGTAAAAAGTCAATAAAATATATTAAAAAAAAAAAAGAATGTATGAGAAATGAATAGATGTTTTGGGCCAATTATTTAACATTAAAAAACATTTAAGATCAAAGCTTTCAGTATGTATCAATAAGATTTAAGATTAGATTAGACATAAGAAATTAACTATTGAAAAATGATACAGAAGCTGGATGATTATAAATAAAGTTGTAGAAAAATCATTCCATGGTATAAAAATGGACAAAATGACATTAATACTTACAGTTAGAGGAACTGGGTCTTGAAAAGCCAGGCTCATTTCATGGCAATAAAGAAATAAAAGTAGGCGTTCACACTTCTAAGCAAAAAATAAAAAATAAAATGAAGTCACAGCTTATTTTTTATAACAATGTCATATATATCAAAGTACCAGAATAAAAATTAAAACCAGATGAATACAAGAAAAGTATATTGATACTTAAGAGTTTTTATCTCATTTATTGAACTGTACTTTTGATAGCTTGGGGTTTATGTGATATATAAGAGCAGTCCTTTGTAATTATAGAAATAAACACATTATAACTAGAAACCAATTTGAAGCTTTTAAGAATTTCCACTTATTTCTCCAAATTTTTTTATTAATATATTTTATTGATTTTTTACAGAGAAGAAGAAAGAGGGATAGAGAGTTAGAAACATCAATGAGAGAGAATCATCGACCAGATGCCTCTTGCACACCCCTACTGGGGATGTACCCACAATCTAGTACATGCTCTTGACCGGAATAGAACCCGGGACCTTTCAGTCCGCAGGCCGATGCTCTATCCACTGAGCCAAACCAGTTTTGGCTATTTCTCCAATTTGTATTAAATTATTAGTAGAGAAAAAAGAGATCTAAAGGTGGAGTCCTTTCCTGGTGTGTACAATCCTAAGGCCCTAAGGCAGATGGTGCTATCGTGCACTTTACTACTTCTCTGCTTAGGGGCTTATTCAAATGCTGAAGCACTGTAATGCGTGTCTGGCCCCCCTCTTGCATGACAACTTTCATGCTCTTTGTTCTACCTAATAACTGAGCAAAGGAGCTTCTTTAGTAATACAGAATGTTGATTTAGTAGGTTTAAATGTTAATTACAGTTAAATATTTTATCTGGCTTTAAGGTATAAACCTAGTAACACTGGGTGAAAAAATGGAAATAGAAAAACTCATCTCTCAACAAATTCTAGGGAAGAAAACCTATCTATAGTAGAAATAAAACAAAACAAATTTACTAAAGTACACCAAATTTAAGAGTGCCGGCCACATAAAGGACACACATTCTACGTTGTTCAAGTACAATATTTTAAGTTTCTAGAAAATGTATATGTAGTACTACAATTTTTTTTAACTAAAAAAAGTCTGCCTCTAAGTATATTATTTAAAATCACTGTACTTTTGTGGAAATAAATATTAGAGAAAAAAGAAGTTAATGTGAGCCGAAACCGGTTTGGCTCAGTGGATAGAGCGTCGGCCTACAGACTTAAGGGTCCCGGGTTCGATTTTGGTCAAGGGCATGTACCTTGGTTGCGGGCACATCCCTAGTAGGGGTGTGCAAGAGGCAGCCGGTCAATGATTCTCTCTCATCGATGTTTCTAGCTCTCTATCCTTCTCCCTTCCTCTCTGTAAAAAATCAATAAAATATGTTAAAAAAAAAAAAAAAAAAGGTTAATGTGAAAAGCACACCTGCATTACAATTATGCATCTAACCAAAGCAAAATAAAACTGCATAAACAGTCTAGGTTGGAAGTGCTCAAAAACTTACCCTTTTATCTATTGGTGTTAATTTACCAAGGCTTTCTGTTTTCTTTTTTTCTGAGTTGTGACTGGGAGCATCACAATCATATTCAACTTCTGGTTTGGATAAGTCTCGGCAGAAAGTGCAAATCCACTCTCCACTGTTGGGGGATAAAGTATTTGAATTATAATGCATTCTATCGTTATTCACCATATCTCTTTCCTGCCTCATCCACGCCATCTATGATACAGATTTATTTGGCATGAATTTCAATCACTGAAGAATTACTGTATATCTACTATGCACTCAGCTCCATCCTGAGAGAGCTAAATAGTTGTCATAATGCAAGAGCCTAAGTGGTATAAATATAAGTCTAGTTAAGGAGATAAGAAATACATATACAAAATAAACAGACACATTAGTCTATGGCTGATGTGATGTATAACTCATATTTTTAGTCCAAATAATTCAAGACAAAAAACATTCTTATTTACTATTCTTGTAAATTTGTTTGAAATTATATTTTAAATAGAGGAACTGAGAGATTATCTCAGTGCTCTTCTTCATCATCTCAAGGGACTGTGAGAATTTACTTGTGATATTTATAAACGTCAGAGCCTGCCAAACAATGTGGCAGTTGTGCATAAGGACCATTGCTCTTTATGGCAATCCCATGTAATCATTTAAAGTTGTTTTTTTTCTTTTTGTAACACTAGGTTTTTGAGAGAAGCATAGGGAATTAAGAGGCAGGGTATGGGAAGGAAACACTATGTTGTATGTTATGAAGTATGCATTTGTGCCAAGTGGACTTTTATTTTTAAGGTTTTACAATGGTTTTAGGTTATAATAACTGTCACCCTTTTCTTTGCCCCAGCTCTGTGTTCTACCCCATTTCTGGGTTCCTACTTTCCTGTTTCTTGGTTTACTCCATACTTGATGAATGATATTGTAAAACAGTTTCCTGAGAATAAGTACATGGAAACCAAATTTTTTCAGTCTTGCATGCATGTCTAAAAATGTTTCTTTAGCCCTAGCCAGTTTTGTCAGTGGATAGAGTACTGCCCCATTATTATTGAATAGAGGCCAGGCGCATGCAATTATTGCACAGGTATGGTCCCTAGGCCTGATCTGTGATCAGGGCCATCCTCTGGGCTGCAGGCAGCTGGCCCAGCACCATGCCAGGGGGAGGGACCAAGACTTGATCAGTATACCTCACAGTGACTGGTCAAGCAGTCGTTCCACAGATTGGTCAATTTGCGTATTACTTTTATATATATACTAGAGGCCTGATGCACAAAATTTGTGCAAGAGTGGGCCTTCCTTTCCCTGGTTGTTGACACCAGCCTCCCTCTGGCACCTGGGAGCTGGGTTTCCCTCACAGCCCCAGTTTTGTCCAGCCTGCTCTGATGGGGTCCCCGGATTGTGGTGGGGACTCCCGCTAGAGGGCAGGGCCAGCCGGGGCAAGGGGCTATGGTCATTCTGGTCATTCCACTGTTTCAGTCACTGGGCTTTTATTATATAGGATAGTGAAAGAATTGGAAAAAGAAAGCAAGTACTTCTTACCTTGGAAAATTTGCCAATGTGGGCACATGACAAGAAAGATGAAATACTTTGGGACACTTCTCACAGCACAGGAGTTCCCCTCCATTCTGACAAACTGCACACCAGTCCTCATTGGGGTCTTCTTCTTTCCTTGTCTCTCCAACATGAAGAGGTGACTTTTGGGAGGCATCCAGCCACTTTCCATTTGAGGAATTTTCCTGGTTAAGTCCAGGCTGATCTCCTGTACTATCAGGGGCATCTGACCTTAGTACAGACTCATCAGAAGCAGAGTTCTGACTACTATTTAAGAGCAGGGAGGTGAGTATGCTTCTTGGATAGTTGGTCTGCAATGAAAGGAGATAAGAGTATATGTATTCTTAAAACTGGCATTCTTAATTAGCACTACTGCAATTTTAGACTAAAGACTGCTCTCTCATGGGCACCTGGTAACTTCAAAGGAGACTATGAACTTGCATGAGGAAAAAAAAAAATTATATATATATATATATATATATATATATATATATATATATATATATCTTTACTGCTAAATATGTTAGAATCTCTAATGGTAAAGAAGTCAAGGACCTGTACTGGAAAACATCATCAAAATAAAGTATCAGTAGTAAGAGAGTTTGAACAATAAAGGAAAATTATATGAATTAGGTGATGATTTCAGAAATGGGAGAATGGGAGGGTAGTGCAGAAGTTAACCATAGGCAATGTAAGTACATTTTAGTGGAGCTGTTCATTTAAATTGTACCTAGACATAAAATATGCCTAGTATAGATTTTTTAAAATCATTCATAGAGCTATTAATAACTTTAAGATAAATCAAAATTTTATGTTGGAGCCTAGGATGGTGAAAATGTCAAATCACAAAGTCATTCTCACAATCTCCAACAGTGTTATAAAATACTCCTCAATTTTGTCAAAACACTTTCCTACCCTTACATACATTCCTATGGAGTCCTCTGTCCTCCTGCCACAGAGTATACTAAAGGAGTTGCTATACTGGGGACTACCATTTTCTTTGCCCCTGTTTTGTGTTATATCCCATTCCTGGGCTATGTTTTCCTCTTTCTTGGTCTACTCCAAGTTTGATGAATCATATTGCAAAATAGCTTCCTGAGAATGAGTACATGGAAATTAAATTTTATTCAATCTTGCATGCATGTCTAAAAATGTTTATTTAGCCCTAGCTGGTTTGGCTCAGTGGACAGGGTGTTGGCCGAGTGTTCCATGTTGGATTAAGGTCAAGAGCACATAGTGCCTTGGTTGCAGGCTTGACCCCTGGCCCTGGCTGAGATGTGTGTGGGAGGCAACCAATCAATGTGTCTCTCTCACATCGATGTTTCCTGCTGTCTCTCCTCCTCCCTTGCAGTTCTCTTAAAAAAAAAGGGGGGGGGGGAGGAATATCCTCAGGTGAGGATTAACAAAAACAAACAGTTTAATTTTTACCCATGATTGATCATTTTACTTCACTAATGTTCTGTACTAATTAGGCACTTTCAGTTCAGATGTTCATGCCTTTCAGTGACTCGAAGTTTCATTATATTATTTGAAGTCATTGATATAATTAAAAAAAAATATATATATATATTATATATGTATATATTATATATATATATATTTACAGAGAGGAAGGGAGACAGAGAGAGAAACATCCATCAGCTGCCTCCTGCACAACCCCTACTGGGGATGTGCCAGCAAATCAAGGTACATGCCCTTGACTGGAATCGAACCTGGGACCCTTTAGTCTACTGGCCAACACTCTATCCACTGAGCCAAACCAGTTAAGGCGAAATATATATAAATATATATTTTATTGACTTTACAGAGGAAGAGAGAGGGAGAGAGGATTAAAAACATCCATGATGAGAAACAATCATCCATCAGCTGCCTCCTGCATGCCCCACACTGAGGATTAAGTCTGCAAATTGGGCATGTGCTCTGTGACCTCAGATCACAGATCAACACTCAATCACTGAGCCAACTTCCTGTCAGGAAACATATTTACATTTTGAGGCCTAGATTCTTCATCTGATTCTTGTTTCACTATCACAACAGGAAAATCGTAATTTTCAGATGGTCCACCATTTTCTTGTTTTATTCGGATTGGCTCCAACATGACCACTGGGACTTTGTGTGTCGAGTCAGCTCCTGCTGGTTTGCTAGAAGAGCCAGAGCTATAAATGTAAGAAAGAAAGGAAAAAAGAAAGAAAAAACCATCTAAGAATGCTACCTTAAGTATCTCCAAATAAAGTATAACCGCTTTGAGAATAATGCCCTATCTTCACAGCAATGGTAACTATTATATAAGTGAAAAATGACACAGAACTTATATGCAACTGCTATGTACAAAAATTCCACTGATAAATAAAAAATGTTCTACATTACCAACCTATCTAAATAGTTATGTTACATCTGAAAAGGTATTTAAATAAATTTAAATAATACCTCAATTAAAAGAAAACTGCCTTCAATACTCTGAAGCTCTAAAATTGGGCAGCCAGATTTACTTCTTACAGCTAGCACCTTTTTTTAGGCTTTCCATTTCTTATTCTAGTCAGTGAAAAAGGGAACACTAGGCTCATATTAATGATTTATTATTATGAAGTGTGAAGACAATGAGGGACATAATTTATTGATGTTCTGCTATTTTAAAAATGTAGTGGGGAAAAAAAACCTTTTACAGATAGCCACTACATTTTCATGGAATTGAACCCAAACTTTCTCTCTTAAGAGAATGCTTTTTCCATGTGATGAGCAAAGCAGTAAGTTAAAATAGAATTTCAAAAAATGTAAACTTATTTTTAAAGCAAAATCAACACTTGGTCATTAGAAAATTCAGAAAACATTTAAGTTAATATAAAATTATTTTTTCTTTTCCCTAAGTTTGTATTTGTATGTGTTCTCAAAACGTGGGCTATAACATATAGTACATTGTATTTGTTATAGCCCACGTTTTTTTTTCCTTGCTACTATAGTAAAATCATAACATTTTATTTTCAACATATATACAAAGATATTTATATCTTTAAAGTTAAAATTATAATTTACTTAATCCATTAGTTTACTAAATTAATGTAATATATAATTATTAAATTATTTTAATTTAAAAGTAAAGTTGTTCAAAATGTATTGAATACCCAAAGTGTGTTGAGCACTGGGGCAAAATAAATATAATTAGAGATTTTCTATTTGGAGAATAAGGTTAAGTCCACTTACCTTCCTCGACTCCCAACACTCGAGGCACTAGGTGAACGTATTGGCGGATGTACACTTGTCATAGTAACAGGTCCTGACGAGGAGGAAATCATACACATTCATAAAATGAATAATTATGTATTTAATCCCAATTGAATGTGTTTTCACTTAGTACTACACTGAAACTGGAACACATAAAGTATATAAAATGGTTAAGTAGTTGCTAAATGCCTTGCACAGGAGTTGAAATTGAAAAGGTATAGAGGCTTAACCTTTGATTTTTACTTTGAAAGTAAAGTATACTATACTAATTTTAAATTGTGCCAAACACTTTTAAATCCAACAAAAAGGGGGATTTTTTTTTTTTTTAATTACAAATTGAGAAAAAACTGGAAAAACAAAATAAGAAGAAAACCACTTTACCTGCAAGACCTGGAGATGGGACTGATGAATTTGGTGACTGGACAGTTCTGTTTGAGGGTGGTCTTGGCTGGCCATGATCTATAGTAGTATCCTTCCTCACAATATTGTCCAGCATAATAGTACTTGAACAGTCAATCTTATAAAAAAAGAAAATTATTTTGTGGTATCCATGGTTTGCAAGTTAAAAATCACTTTAAATGAATAAGAAAACTTTAATAGTTTAATTATTACCAAATGCTAAAACATGAAAAATTATATTTGAGAAGTTCTGATGCATATTTTCCCCATAACAATCTTAAAAAAAACTTGCACTCTTGTTGCTAGTTCGATTCCTGCACGTTGGGGGCTCAATCCCAGTAAGGGTCTCCAGGAGGCAGCTGATCTATGATTCTCTCTCACCACTGAGGTTTCTCCCTCTCTAAAAACAAAAAAAACAAAAACATTTAAAAAATAACAAAAACTTGGCACTCTTTGTTGTTAATCCTCACTGAGGATATTTTCCCATTGATTTTTAGAGAGAGTGGAAGGGAGGGGGAGAGACAGAGAAACATCGATGTGAGAGAAACCCACTGATTGGATGCCTCCAGCTTTTACCTGGACCTGGGCCAGGGATGAAACCTACAACTGAGGTATGTGCCTTTGACCAGAAATTGAACCTTCAACCTTTTAGCCCAAGGGCCGATGCTCTAACCATTGAGCAACGGACCAGAGTTTTCACTCTTCTTAAATGTTACATGTTAGTAAATACACTGAGCAACATTTACAAAACACTAACAACAGCGAGGCACGCTACTGCAGTTTGGTAGGAAAAAATACATGCTATTTCAGAAATCATGGGCCAAGAGAAATAAGTATTGTATGTCATTCACACCCTTAAAAATTAAAGCAAAAACAGTTTTTAATACTTAATTTAACAATAACAAAATGTAGCCAATTAAAAAAAAAAAGCTTGGTGAGAAAAGTAGCAAAATTTCACATTGTTGCAGATTTCTTTAGCATCTTGCTTAATAACAATTAACAGGATTCTTATATCTGCTTATGTACTAAGTCTCTTTTGATTAAAGAATATAAAGAAAAAGCTGGCCTTACACAGGGAAACCTTATGGAACCTCTGAAAGGGTTGTAAAGACACCTGTGTCCCTGGCCCATACTTAGAGAACTGAGGCTTTGGTATGCACCAGAAAGCTGAAACATTTCCAGAACACTAATATTATTCACCTAAGCACACTATTACCGTTTGGTAGGAAAAAAATAATCCCTCCTGGATTCTTGCTTTAATAAAATAAGTTTATAGTAACACATGTTTTATAATTAATTACCAAGCTAAAATAGTGATAAATTTCTATCAAATAAGACTTTAATGCTTTAAATGCAAATATTTTTCATGCGTGTATATACCATTTATTTCCAAGAATGTCTTTGTGGTTAAAATCAATTTAATACAGTTGCAACATTTCTCAACCAGGATTCTACAAAAGAATTAAGTCCTGTAGTCCTAGGACACAGACTCTATATAACAAATTTACTTCTTGCATCTAGAATGGTGCTAGTTATGAGCCAGCCGTTAGGAGGACTGAGAAAACAGACTCTCAAAGCAGTTTCTTGTTCTGTGGTTTAGATGAGGAATCTCAGTTGAGAAAGGCTGATGAACACAGAGTCACCTGTATCTGAGGACTGCAGAGAAAAGAGCAAAAGGATAATATTAATATTTCTAGGTCATCTTTCAATTGGGAGAGCAGGGAAGTTCCAGGGTCATTTATGTTCAATGTGGTTTTTTTGGAATACCTTGACCAGTACTTTTCAGAGAGTGCAGAGTATTGAAACGATTGGATATGAAAGATCTTTAATGTAAGAAAAGTTATTTACAACTGTGGAGTAATACTAAAAGCTAAAATAAAATTATCAGAATGAGACAAAAAGTTGTCCTATGTATTACCTATGTTTGAAAAATACATGTACTCTACCATTAAAGTATATACAAATAAACTTTGGTAAGATTAATGATGTCACAATTGAGAAATGTTAGTTGATCTCAGTAACTTAAACTAAAAAAATTTTTTTTTAATTCTTTCAATCTTACATTTTAAAAGTTTTTAATATTTGTGTGCATGATTACCTAACCTTGTAAAATAACAAAGGCATTTGCCTTTATCTGGAATAGAACCCGGGACCCTTCAGTCCACAGGCTGCTAATCTATCCACTGAGCCAAAGCAGCCAGGGAGTTAATATATTTAACTTAAGAAGAAATCAGAGGTAGTTTTGCACTGGTATGATGTAACAGAAAATGTTTTCATTTCTAACTTGCCTCCATCTCTGCTAATGTCTTTAATTCTAGCCTCCCTTTCTACCTTGATTAAATTCATATACCATGTTCCAGCAATTAACCTCTCCAGTACCTCTTTCCCATGTCCTTACTTCCCTGCATTCCCAGCTTAGATTCCATATCCATCACCACAATCATTCATTTCCATAATCCATTACTATTTTATAAATTATTCATTACAAACACCTTAAGCTCCAGCACCTTGCTTTCAAGGTATATTATGTAGTATGGTCAAGTGTCTATACACTTTTTATTTTTCTGGCTGTTATATTTCCAAAGGCTATACATAACTTCTAAATCAAGCACACACAATCTATAAAGCAACAAACCCATCCATGTCTTTTACCAAATCATAGTCCATGTAAAATTTTCAAAATAGATTCTTAAAAATTCTCTGTATACTTACATCTGGCAGAGAAGGAAGATTATAGGAACCTCCCACTGGTGAGCTCAAATCAATCATGGGTGAACCAAAAGCCTTTCCATCATATCCTGCTGCACTAGTAATGGTGGGACTAGAAGGAGTAGAGGATGTGCTATTGGCAGTTGATGGGGGGGCCTGCCCACTGCTAATCTGCCACTACAGGAGAAAGAAAAAAGAAAAGTTATCTTTCAGCAGGCCTATAACATAAATGTCCACTTAATCTCTATTCCAGACACAAAACAAAATGGCACACACATTCTACAAGTTGAATTCCACTGTATTCAATTGTAATTGGAAGAGGGAGAGTGTACAAGAATACATAAGTTTCATGAATCCTGTTGAAAAATAAAAGGTGCTGATTTTTACCAGACAGAAGTTAGTATATACCAGAAAACCACAGTACCTATCTTGGAAAGCTTGTACGTACTGGAAAAGAAATATGAACACGTATGCAGCAACCTCAAGGTAAAGATAAAGGGCAAAAAACATTTTCTTTTGTCCCTACCTGATAAATATGAAACTAGAATGGTTAAAAGGAATTTTAAAAAAGCACTGAGTTATATAGACAAAGAAAACAGGAGAAGACAGAAACGGAAAGCAAATGGACAAATAGAGAATTACTTAATTTAATAAAGCTGAAATCTAAGGTGGCAGTGGGGAAAATAGAGAAGCAAATCAACTTATGCTGCAGAACCCCTAAAATCTTAGAAATTAGAAGCATGAGAGGTGAAGCTGGGGCTAATAATCTGTTTAACCCGTGTTAAATCTCGTGTTTCTTTCCTACTCTACCTATAGATAGATATCTTTAAGGTAATAAGGATTCCTCCACCTACACTGAAAAGGGCTAGAAATTTATTCTCCAAAACAGGCAAAATTGTCTCTTTAGATTGAAGAGCACCATATTTAGGTGTAGGCAGAAGTACTGCATGGAAAATGAAGATTCAGAAGCCAAACACACATTGAATGCTGAGCTTCTCACCCACTCTGCTGATGGCTCAATCCCTTTCTTCCTCTCTCAGCTGGCTTCAACAAGGAGCCAGGCCCTGCATTTTAGGCAGAAGACAGAAAGATCCTTTGGGGAATGGATCAGCCTAAGAGTTAAAACCTAAAGATGGTGACAATAGGAATTCTTCCAATAAACATTGCTAGTAGCCTTAATATTAGAGTGATAACTCAATCATCAAACACTAGCCCCAGACCCAAGATTCAGATTTTTTTTTTTTTTTTACCCATTTCTTGTATCTGAACAGATAATCAAGTATCATTTATGTTTGAGGCCAAACATATTAACTAATTATTATTAGTTAATTAACAAATATATTAACTAAGCCAGCACTAGGAATGCTTAAGATACAGAGATGAACCATATTGCTGCCTTTTTAAAAAAAATATGTATTTTATTTATTTGTTTTTAATTTTATTTTTTTATTAAATTATTATCTGTGTACATATTTTACCATTGCCCCCCACCCCCAATATATACCCACCCTCCCCGGAGTTTTGTGTCCATTCATTGTACTTATATGCATGTATCGATATACAAGTCCTTCAGTTGATCTATTATCTCCCCCAGATCTCCCTACCCTACCTGCTGTAATTTGAGTCTGCTTGTTGCTTTACTGTCTCTATATCTATTTTTTGGTTCATCAGTTTATAATGTTCTTTATTATCCATAAATGAGTGAGGTCATGTGGTGTTTCTCTTTCATTGACTGGCTTATTTCACTCAGCATGATGTTCTAATATTGCTGTCTTAAATCTACATCGAAATCTATTTAAAAAAATGACTTGATTGACTGGATCAAGGGGTATATACATAACGGAGAAGGCATATAAAGCAATTTATCCTCTGTACCATTCTTCCAAATTGTTATGTTTGAAACATCTATAATAATAAAAGCATAATATACTAATTAGACCAGACAGCAGAAAGACCTCCCAGATATTATTCCGGACGTACTTCCTGAAGCCATGGTGGCAGGGGCTGAGGCAGAGGTGGTTAGGGATGATCAGGAAGGCAGGCAAGCAGATAGGAGTGATCAGATAGACATGCAGAGTGGTTAGGGACGATCAGGCAGTTGGACATCCCCCAAAGGGTCCTAGGTTGCAAGAGGGTGCAGGCCAGGCTGAGGGACCCCCATGCATGAATTTTGTGCACTGGGCCTCTAGTTTCTTAATAAAATATTTGTAAAAAGAAAAGCAACTAAGAGCTATCTTAAGACTATGCAGAGAAAAACATTCCCAAATACAATACCATTAACATATGGCCTACATTATATGGAGTGATAGTGTCTGAAACATTCTAATTTATATGATCCACTGACAAAACTATGTAAGGAAACCTGTGAATATGAAAGTTATCTTTACTACCTAACCACCTCTCACCTCATATCCACCCACCCACCTCTCCCATTTCTGCCCACCCTCTCCTTTCTTTAAACTCATGTCCTCCTTTGCTCCCTAGAATACTCAGCTATGGCTGATATATGATCCTCCAGGTTCTCTCTCTCTCTCTCTCTCTCTCTCTCCATATATATATATATATATATATATATATATATATATATATATATATACACACACACACACACACACACACACACACACACAGATGGCCAAGAAGGCCATCTATAGGGGGTTGGGCTTTATTGCTTGTTGTCGTGGCATTATATATATATAATATTAAAACAAAACAAACAAACACAAAAATAAGATACCTTATAAGAAAGTAGCATGTTTTCCCTCCATATAATATACTTAGATTATATACAGATTATTGCATGTTCTTAATAGCTAAATGGTATTCCCATTGTACAAATATAATTTGTTAAAAAAAAATCTATCAATTAAAACAATTCTTCACTACATTTTCTACTAATTCATTTATTTATTCATGTTTAGATTTTTGATTAGGAACCATTCTTAAAAGTGTAGGTCCGCCCATTGCAAATAATAAATGGGGAAGAGGGAAAGTAAAATTTGAGTACAGAGAATGTGGTGTTTTAATACACATTAGCATTAAGTCTCAGCACAACTCTATAAAGCAGTGTTTCCCAAACTTTTGACATATGTGTACCCTTTATATAATTTTCATATCGCTGAGTACCCCTCGTACTCATGAGAATGTAGAATTAGGCACAGCTAAGCACGGTGCAGTGCATATCCCCACCAAACTCCAGTGCAACGTGTACCCCCTTCTCCCCCCCAAACTCTTCCCGTACCCCTGGGGGTACACGTACCACACTTTGGGAAACACTGCTACAAAGCATTTATTTTATATTTAGGGTGAATAAGATTTAAAATAATAACCCTGCAAAGGCCAAAATCTAAAGTCAAACTGTTGTTTGGACCCTTTGCTCTTCAACTCTAATGATGAAATAAAGACAGGAATGAATTTTACATACATGAAGTGTGTATACTTTTAAAATTTTCAAATAATTTGACTGAAATGAATTCCACAGAATTATAGAAATAGCTTCATATGGATTTTAGCCTTGGCAAAATAATTAAGCTGAAATCAATCTACAAGTCTTAAGCTGGAAGAACTATTGACACAGTGCGTGGAGAAGACAGGCATTGAGAGAACATTTACTTTTTAAAAAATAATGTAATACCTAGAATATATTTTTATCTGAAGACATTAAGAATATAAATATTAAGCTTCAGATTTAAAATGTAATCTTAATTTTTATCAGATGTATATGTACTCAATATTAAAACTGTCATACTAAATTTGTTTCAAGAAATTTCCTGGAAACATTTTAAGATTGATTTATAATTCTCTATGCAGAATGTAACCTGTATTAAAATACTTCTGTCTTAGCACCTTAATACTTCTGCCTGTATTCACCTAAAAGCTACTACATCACTATTAGAAAAATCAATACCTATGACACACTGATTATTCTCGCCTTCATTCATATAAAGCGGCTTAATTTTTCTTGTTAATTACAAAGCATCAAGAACTTTCTCTTAGCTTTGTCTCTATGTCAGTCTATAATAAATTTTGTAATTCACATTTTTTAAAAAAAGCTTGCTCTTACTTTTCATAACTGTTACTTTATCCATAAATTCAATGTAATTTCAAAGTAGCAAAAGAAAAATAAGTGAATACCTGTTTTATTGCTTGTTGAGCCAAGAAGGCCATCTGTAGGGGGTTGGGCTTTATTGCTTGTTGTCGTGGCATAGTCTGAGTTGGTGGATATCTCAGCTGTTGAGAATGAGGAGGGAGAACTGGTCCACTGGGTTTAGGGCTGTGATTCTGAAAATTTATCAAACGTGGAGGGGGTTGCTGAAAAAAGGAAATAAAACCAACTCAGTGACAATAATCTGAAAGATAAAATTATAAAGCACTCTATTTTATTACTTTTATAGAAAAACTGCAACTTTACCACAGATGAATCAACAATTAACACTACAACAAGGGAATAGGGGGAAAAGGCAGCCTTCCAGAATATATAAAAGCAATTTAAAAAAAAGGAGTTTTATTAAAAGCGTTGGTGGAGGTTTCCGATTGTAAGTAGGTGATACCAGAAATTGGGCCTATACTATGTGGGAAAGTAGGGAAAATTTATCTTTGGTTCTCAGTCCTTGTTTAAGATTAACTTTTGCAAAGAATTGCCCTCTTCAAACCTCCTAAATAAGGTGGTGGTAAAATAATAATTGCTAACATTTATCAGTTATTGCAAGCCAGGTACTGATTTAGCTCTTTACAGGTGTTAACTCATTTAATCTTCACAACAATCCTGTGAGGTAAAGACAAGTATCTTATCAAAAATTAACAAAGATAGTAAGGGACAGAGCTGGGATTTGAATTCAAGTACTCTGGCTCTAAGGTCTGCACTTTCAACCAATAAATCATTAATAATGAAAACAGCTGGCATTAAACAACATTTTTAAATAAATGAATTTTAGATTTTATTGGAATAAAACTATATGCCAGACATTGAGATCAGCATTTTACCCTCCCCTCATTTTACAAATTAGGACACTAAACATCAGAAAGCTTAAATAACTTGGGGAAAGGGGGAGGAGAGGGAGGAAACCCACACAGCTAGCAAAAAGGCAACACTAAGGCTTTTCTCCAAATCCAGTCTGCCATATTATTACCAAATCATGTTCTATTATTTAGCTATGAGTTAATATACTAATTACAGCTTAGAGGATGTGTTTCTTTAAAAGAAAATAGATTTGAAAGGAAACCTTTTAAGGACAAAATTGGTTGATTACAGGATAGGGCAAGGCCTGGGAAGGCAAGCTTACTTTGTTCATAAATGCTAGCCCCAGAAACTGAGATCAGTGCTCTAGAAAAAGGTAACCTTATATACCAGTCTCTCTTGCCTATCCAGTTCTCTTTATGGTTAGCAACTATTGCAAATACTTACTTGCAGGCTATCTTACCAGTTTATTTTTACAACCAGAACTTCTCAGAGAGGGAACTATTAACTCTCACATTCACAGGGGACAATGAATGTGGAATTTATAAAGTTGCATTAGCAACACCTGGAACTTTGACTCTGCGAAGGGAGATAGCTATAAAGAGGACAGCCCTGTCTTCTTTTTTCCTCCCATTTTTGGAATTTCCTTTCCTTTCCTGGATAACATTGCTTATCTCTCCCCTCTCTTACAAATTAATTAGCACTGGGTTCACCCTCAGTAATTTTCAAGAGTAATTATAAAACCAATAAAAAATAGATTTAAATATTGTCTCAAGACCAAGGAAAATTTTGTGTGTGAAAATTAGAGAAAGTGTCAAAATTTTACAGAAGTTTAAAAGGCTGAAACAATAACAATTAATTTTTATTCTTTTACTAAAGTTTCGTGATTTGAAGGGTTTTATATCATAGAAACACAAAGAGAAAATAGTTTGAGAATCATAGTGAAAAACTCCTACATTTATCTTTAGTGTTTTTTGTTTTTTTAAAAAGTGAAAAAGCACCCAAAATAATTCTTAAGGGAGAATAAAGGTAGTTGTAGAAGCTTCTACCACCTGCTATCACTCCCTCACCAGGATTCAGTCAAGAAGAGATACTTGGTACCACAGCAATGTACTTTGTAGGAATGAAAACTGACCCTGAAGTTTGGTAAGATGTAAGGTTAATTTTCTTGCCTCTCCTAAACTGTTACATTTGACTGAATTTTTAAAAACCTTTTGACAGAGGAAGCAACTTGAAAGAATAACAACATTAGGAACTAGTTATGAGCATTAAAAACAATAGCAAAATCACTGTTATTTTAAACTAAATACTTTTTCTTTTTAAATAAGTATTTTGTAATTTTTTGAGAGAGGAAAGGAGAGTGGAACATCAATTAGCTGCCTCTTGCACCCCTTCTCCTCCCTCCCCCCAGAGGGGGGTTGAGTCCTCAACCCAGGCATATGCCCTGACCTGAAATCGAACTGGTTCATGAGTTCGATACCGGCAGGGTAAAATAACTTATTTAAGTAACTTCAGTATTAAAGGTTTTTTTGTTGTTTTGTTTCATTAATCCTTACCTGAGGGTATTTGGGAGAGACAGAGAGAAAGAAACATCAATGTAAGAGAGACACATTGATTGGTTGCCTTCTGCTCATGCCTCGCCCGGGTTGGGATAGACTGCAACTGAGGTACATGACCTTGACTATAGTCATATCCAGAACCCTTCATTCCGCAGGCTGACACTCCAACCACTGAGCCAAACTGACTAGGGCAGGGTTTTTATTTTGTTCTAGGTCAGTAGTTCCCAACTGTGTATAAAGTGAAGGATAGCATATGTCTTTCTAACATCCATCACTGTGTAGGGAAATTGACATGTACATATAGAATGAAAATATTCCCACAACAGTAATCTGGCTCAGGTTCGAGAAACACTATTGTGAATTATGTATAAAATAACACATGTGCCCAGCGGAGTAGCTCAATAGTTCAGTACCTATCTATCTATGAACAAGGAGGTCACAGTAAGATTCCTGGTCAGGTCACATGTGCAGGTTGTGAGCTTGGTCCCTGGTGGGGGCATGCAGAAGGCAGCCAATCAATGATTCTCTCTCAGCATTGATGTTTTTATCTCTCTCCTCCTCTTCCTTCCTCTCAGAAATCAATAAAAATCCTATACAATAAAAGCCCACCCACTGAACGGATGGGTCGATCAGTAACTATGAAGTGCACTGACCATCAGGGGGCAAACTCTCAAAGCAGGAGCTGCTCCCTGGTGGTAAATTTGCTCCACAGCGGAAGTGCCACGTGGCTGACCAGGATGAACGGTGCTTCCGCAGCAGGAGCAGCTGCTCAGAGGGTAGGTCCACAGTCATTTGGCTGACCGGGACGAGTGGCACCCCCACAGCAGGCAATCTCCACAGGCCGACACACACCACTGAACAAAACCTGGGCAAATACGGGCTTCTAGTATATATGTTAAAAAAAAAATATAACACATGTGACAGTGCTAACAAACTTAGATCTGAACACTGCAGTGTAATAGAGTATGTTCTATGCAGAGTACATGGTTAATCTTCAGAGGAAGAAGAATAGAGAGCAATCATGTTTTTAGAAGCATTCTTTTAAATTTGCCTGAACCCTATGGACTGATGTACGGTACAATCTGAACATATCCACAAAGCCAGGAACACATATACACACCTATTTATTGACAGTCATTTTTCCCACACATATAAACTTGTAGAAAACGAAGAATGTTGGTAAGCAGAACAATGTAAAAATCTGTAGAGTGCAAACTGGTAAATGAAAAATGTATGAGTGAATGTTTGGCAAAGAGCAGCTAAAAATGAAACATGAGAGTGTGAAAGAGGTTCAGGAGTCATTGAAGATTAAGAGAGAAAAGAACAGTCATGAGGTAATGACCAAAAGATGCAAAAATTACTTTATTTCTAAGTGAGAAAACTGGGTTGTATAATAGAGATTGTGCATTATATAGATTATGTAGCAGTATGTCCTAGAGAAGAAAAATAAGATCAAAAGCAAATTTCTGAGATATACACGCTAAAAGTTCAGTGTTCACTTCTGTTTGTCATTGCTTATATAAATAACTATATAAGGGAATGCCACTAAGTTGCATAATATCTATTAACTTCCTCAGTTCCTCACTTCTACTGAAAAGCCAATTTACTCTTCTTTAGGTTAATATACTACTTAATAAAAATCACTTTACCATATCCCAGAAACTTAAGATAAACATTAATTATGCAAATGCTTAGCACTAGGCACTCAACAAATTATCATTTTCTCTCTTCTCACATTTATCTTTAGAAAAAGTTCTGGCATTCTTTGCAGTCTAGCTGCAATTCATTACTGGACTCTACAGAAGTAGTAACAAAATTACTCCTCAATTTTCTTAACAAAATTTAAACTTTGCCAGTTTCACTTCTGGTATCTCAAGTGTACAATTCTTTCCTCATAGAACACTCACCATAAAACCTTAAATTGCTTCTTATTTACTTCCTGTAAAAACCTGAGTTAAAACAAAGTTTAAAAGGAATAATCAATTGGGTATACTAATATTCCATTGGATTTGATTTGCCTTCCTAATCAAATCACTAGAAAGCCATAAACCTCAAATACATTACCTCAGGCCTTCAAAGAAGCAATTTAACAAAATCAAGATCTACATATGCCCACACTTTTATTCATAATTAAAATGAGTCATATGACCATTTTTATGTTCTGCACTAGTAAAGTTACCACAAAATACAATTATGCAATTTAATTGCTGTTTACAAAGGTTCACATAATATTGTCCTCTTCGTGCTAATAAAATGTTTCTCCTATAAATAACTAAAATGTTTCCTTTTTATCACACAATATAGATATTTCTATTTATTTTTCTTAGGTTGACAATAAGTTTTGAGATAAGGCTTGCTCTCAAGTATGAGAATTCTTAGCCTAGTTCTACATACTTTGACTCTTATTAAACCTCATTCCATTCATGTCATTTACTGTCCTTCAAATTCTTCTCAGAAATAGAAAGAATATAAATTCATAAATATATGTAACTGAAAATAGACAATTTGTATGAATTTGACCTAATACTCCTTACTAACCTTTATTAAAACAAAGTACGGTATGCCCACATTTAAGCTGGGCAGGCCAATTAAAACATTTAACAAAGTATATGAATATTTTATATTTAAAAATTGAATTAAAAGTAAACAATATTTCACAATTAGTGAAAATAACAATGGTTCATGGAGTATTTGCTCAGAAATAAATTTTGAAAAAAGTATATTTTTAATGAACCATATCCCTGTCCCTTTCTATTTCATTCTGGCCTAGTTTCTAAGATGCAGTGTGGTTTTCTGAACACTTGCATTACACATTCTCTAAAATATTAAAATGTAATAAAAATAGATGTACAAGTTAAATAAACCATTAATTCTTTACTTTTTTTTTTTTTTTTTTGAGAGGGCTAAAATCTACGAGCTAAATCAGGAATCCTCAAAACATTTTATAAATTAATATATTTAAATCATGGATGATTGAGGTCTCAGTTATTTTTCAGAGCTGCTAAAAACAAGTGTACTGTAATTATCTAATTTAGGACAGGCCTGCTTCCAAATTTACCTGATGAGAGATGGAAGGTTGCTGGATGGGCCCCTGCATTCTAGGGTTTGGTAAACCCACAGGTGCTGGCCTCCGTTGCACCTGTTGCCTCTGAGCCATTACCTGTTGCTGCATATGCTGGAGTCGTAACTGAGCTAGGCTGATCTGTGTTGGAAACTTGGATAACTGGTTTGAAGATAAACCACCTTGTGGCTGTGAACTCTGTTCCATGACAGGATTCTGCTTAGGCATTTGTGGTTGACTCTCTTTATCTTCAATTACTAAAGAACCTAATTAAAGAGAAAAGGTTAAGTTCTAAAGTTTTTCTGATAGTGATATACCACATTTTGTAAGGCTATTTATTGTTGCTGAACTTCCAAACTGTCAAGGAACTTTTCAATCTCAGGAAACCTTTACACTCTTAAAAATAGATTGCCCCAAAAAGCTTTTATTAATAGAGTTTCTATCTATCAAAATTTACTATCTTTGACACTAAAAATATTTAAAAAATTTACTTAGCCGGTCTGTGGACTGAAAGGTCCCAGGTTCGATTCTGGTCAAGGGCATGTACATTAGTTGCGGGCACATCCCCGGTAGGGGGTGCACGGGAGGCAGCTGGTTGATGTTTCTCTCTCATCGACGTTTCTAGCTCTCTATCCTTCTCCCTTTCTCTCTGTGGAAAAATCAGTAAAGTATATATTTTTAAAAATTTACTAATTCATTTCAAAATAATATACCCATACTGGCATACCTTTATGAAAAATATTTTTATTTTTTAAAATCTTAGTGAAGAGTGCACTGTTTTATATATTTTATTTATTTATTTATTTATTTTTAACAGAGAGGAAGGGGGCAGGATAGAGAGAAACTGGGAATGTGCCCGCAACCAAGGTACATGCCCTTGACCAGAATCGAACCTGGGACCCTTCAGTCCACAGACCGATGCTCTATCCATTGAGCCAAACTGGTCAGGGCTATTTTTAAAAATATTTTTATATGTGTGCTTTGATAGCTGAACTCTCATATCTGTTTCTGCAGTATCTGTCATAATATATTGTTTAGGTTGAAATATAGGAAGAAAATCCAGCGACACAGATAAGTAGTTGGAAAGAGGAGGCCTCTGAGGTTCCCTGAAGGAGCCGAGCCTCAAATTGTACATTTTGAGAACTGCTATGGTATATTAAGACAAAACAAGCAAATCTGACATAGGTTCCAAAAATATTCCCACAAAATATTTTGGATTCTTTAATATTAATAATTTGTAATCTCTCAAGTTCCTTATTCTTTCACAGAACATACTGTGTCAGTTTTCTGATAGAGGATATTTTGAGTGGCTTACAATTACCCTTAAGAGAGTTTAAGGCTGCATCTAATAGGTCTGATCCAAGCACAAGGCAAAGATTAATTTTTTCAACAGTAGGGATTCAATTAAATGTTTTAGATTTGAAAGTATATGCATCCTAAAAAAAATACGGCTATAATTCATTACTTACTGGGTATTAGGCACTGTGACAGGTTTATGTATACGGTTAAATTCCTTTTCACAGATAAGGGATCTACGGTTCAAAGATAATGAAGAACTTACCCAAATCCCCAAAACATTAACTATTTATCTAGATCAGTATTTTCCCCTTGCCCTATGAAAGATATTTCTCAGAATCCATAGGAAACAAGTTGGGAAAATTTATTTCTTTTGAAGAATTAAAATGTAAATTTCATTGTATGACAATTTACAGAGCTATAAATGATAGCTCTTAGAAGTTCTATAGTCAAGAATATTTTTTTTCAGTTATGGAAAATAATTTTATTTTTTTTCATTTTTTTAAATTAAGGTATTATATGTGTACATATCTTACCATTGCGCCCCATGTCCCCAAGAATATTATTTAACTTTAATATATCAGAGTTTCGCAAACAGGAGATGCTATCTTTATTTGATTTTTGCTGAAGCAGACTTACCTAAACTATATCCACTTTTGTATATGTAATTATACATCTATGTATATATACATCTATGTATACTTTACCTATGCCTATACTAGAGGCTTGGTGCATGAAATTCATGCAGGGGGAGGGGTCCCTCAATCTAGTCTTCACCCTCTCCAACCCAGGACCCCTCAGGGGATGTTCCAACTGCAGTTTAGGCCCCATCTTTGCGGTGATCCCTCTTGCAATCCAGGACTGCTGGCTCCTAATCACTTGCCTGCCTGCCTGATCACCCCTAACCACTTGCCTGCCTACCTGATTGTTTCTAACTGCCTCGGCTTGCCCCCCTAACTGCTCCCCTGCCAGCCTGGTTGCCCCATTACTGTCCAGAAAGAAGTCAGACATCCAGAAGATGTCTTGTCGATCCAGTCTAATTAGCATATTACCCTTTTATTAGTATAGATCTGTATTGTAACTGATATACATAAGTACATACATCTCTATAGATATGACTACTTGTGTGGATATATAACTGTGATAGGTTCTCTATACAGTTGAATGTGGGTTGGTAGAGAGGGATAGGGTTGAGATAGTTACTTAGACACATGCTTTGTATTAATTAACTAGAGACCAAGTGCATGAAATTTATGCACTGAGGAGTAAGGGAGATGGGAGGAGTCCCTCAGCCCAGCCTACACCCTCCTGCAGTCTGGGAGCCCTTGGGGTCCGACTGATGGCTTAGGCCTGCTCCCTAAGACGTCAGTCGAACATCTTTAGCACTGCCGGGAGGCAGGACCCAGTTTCTGGCTGAGCGACACTCCCCCTGTGGGAGCACACTGACCACCAAGGGGCATCTCCTGCGTCGAGCAGGATCAAGCTGAACCAGGCTCTCTAACATCCGCCAAGAGGTCCTGCATTGCAAGAGGTCATAGGCCAGGCCAAGGGACCCCACTGGTGCACAATTGGGGCCAAGAAGGACACGGGAGGTTGGCCAGCCAGGGAGGGACCTTGGGAGAGCTCCTGGGTGTGTCCAGCCCATCTTGCTCAGTTCCAATTGGCTGGATCACAGCAGCAAGCTCATCTACCAGTCGGAGTGTCTCTCCCCAGTGGTCACTGAATGTCATAATGAATGGTCGACCGGTTGACTATGCCCACTGGTGTCAGTGCACATCATAGTGAGTGGTTGAGCGACCTTAGCATATCATTAGCATATTACGCTTTGATTGGTTGAACAGCCAACTGGACACTTAACATATTAGGCTTTTGTTAAATAGAATATAGAATAACACATACAGTTGTGTTTTTGTGTGTGGTTCCAATTGCTTGCTATATATCAATAAACATATAGTTTTATGTACTTCTAAAATGAACTGCAAGGGTCATCATATATTTTCCTTAAGGGGACACCATATCATTATTCTTTTTGTTCTCCCCTTTTATAGATGAGTTTTGTGTAAGCCAATTTCTTCCTTTCCTGGTGTATTCTGAGAGTATTGGCTCTCTATCCTGCCATTTTTTACTTTTTACTTTCTTTACTCAGAATTTAGCCTACAGAATGAGAGTACAATCATTTTTGATGATTCTGAAACAAAGTTAATGAGCCCAATGCTGTCATCAAAGGGAATATTAGTAGTTGATAAAGAATGCATAGGGAATTCTTAAAGTTCTGTTTCTATAATTTCCCTGTGAGAAATTGAGGAGGCAAAATGTGAGGACTTTTTCTCCTAGCAAATCCTACCTAATAAAAGAGTAATATGCAAATTAACCACCACTCTGCTATACCCACCAGCCACACCCACCAGCTAATCAGAGTAAGTATGCATATAAACCCAACCAAGATGGCTACAACCACAGAGAGCAGGAGGGAGGCTTGGGTTTCTCAGGCAACGAAGAAGCCAAGCTTTCTGCCTGCCCTAGCAGGCCTAAGCCTCCACTCCAGGCTACAAAATTTCAATGATAAAAGGTAAACAAATCTGTACAGAAATGGCAGCAGCCACAAAGCAAGCTAGAGGCTTGGCTCCACTCCAGGCTACAATTTTCAATTGTAGAAGGTAAATAAATTCCAGATACCAGGGCCTCCACTTGGGTTGCCAGGGGGAGCAGCTGGCCTGCTAACAACTACAGGCCCCTCGCTCAGGCTGCCCCATTCCCCAAGGGAATCCCCACACTGATCTGGGACACCCTTCAGGGCAAACCAGCTGGCTTCCACCCATGCACCAGGCCTCTATCCTAACTAATAAAAGGGTAATATGCAGGTTGACCATAATCCAACACACAAAAGCTGCCCCATGTGGTCAAAGATGGCTGCCCACATGTGGACATAGGATGGCCAGCAAGGGAGGGCAATTGGGAGGCACCAGGCCTGCAAGGGAGGAAAGTTGAGAGGGATCAGTACTGAAAGGAAGGGCAGTTGGAGGCGATCAACCCTGCAGGGGAGAGCAGTTAGAGATGACCAGGCCAGCAAGAGGAGGGAAGTTGGGGGTGACAGGATGGCATGGGAGTGGTTAGCAGGTGATCAGGCTGGCAGGCAGAAGCGGTTAGGGGCAATCAGAAAGGTAGGCAGACAGTGCAATTGGGAGCCAGCAGTCCTGGATTGTGAGAGGGATCCCAGATTGGAGAGGGTGCAGGCTGGGTTGAAGGACACCTCCCCCACCACCCCATGCACGAATTTCATGCACCGGACCTCTCATAATAATATAACAAGAAAATTAAAATAATTTCCTACTGAACTGCCTGCAAGGATGTTTAAGCTCTTAATGTTATCAATATGATAGTCTTCCTTTGTGATAATTCAGTGGAAACCACTATTTAAAATGTGGGCACTGCCGAAACCGGTTTGGCTCAATGGATAGAGCGTCAGCCTGCAGGTTTGATTCGTCAAGGGCCTGTACCTAGGTTGCAGGCACCTCCCCAGTAGGGGGTGTGCAAGAGGCAGTTGATCAATGATCCTCTCTCATTGATGTTTCTAACTCTCTATCCCTCTCTCTTCCTCTCTGTAAAAAATCAATATATTAAAAATTTTTTAAATTTTAAAAATAAATAAAATGTGGGCACTTTTCTGTATGCACATAACACTTCAATTAGAAAATTAAATATATGTAATTATATTTATTATATAAAATTATATGTATAATTACTATAAAAAGGCAAAAGAAAAAGCAGTAAATTTTCCCTAGCAAGATAAAGCAAATGAGTGACATTAGGCATTTGATTAAAGAGAAAGCCAATAATAGTATTGGAAATACTATTTTATCAGAAAACATTCTAAATATAAAAAAATTCTATAACAATGCCAGTCACAAGTCAAAAGTTTTATCAACCCATTCTGATAAAAAGTTCAAGCAAGAATCTATGAAAAATAGAATTCCTTAATCCCGAGGATGTTAACAGAGAATGTTTCATAACACCCATATGCTTACATGTATGTTAACACTCATGCATGTGTGACATATATACACAGATTAATAAAATACTAAAAAATTCCATTTTTTAAATCTAGGTAACAAAAACATTTTGAGGGTGTAAAGAATACATTTTCAATAAAATAATAATCAGTAAGAGTTCCAGAAACAAATGGCACTTGAGAAAATATACACAATGACCTACCTAAATTGAGGATATTTTGAGCCCAGAAACCAGGATCACAGTGAAATTGGATGGTATTGTTGGTCACTGGGGAAGCATCACATCTTGCTCGAAGGAGATGCCGTAACCGGTATGTAATCTAGAAGAAAGGAGACAAACATCAGTATCTTTATCAGGTCAATAATTTATTACACTCCCAGTAAATACACAAAAAATAAGTCTCTTGTATGTATACCAACATAAAAAACAATAAAATGGAAACTATAGGCAGCCCAACCTGGCTGGTATGGCTCAGTGGTTGATTGTTAACCTTTAAACCAGGAGGTCACAGTTCAATTCCTGATCAGGGCATACGCCTGAGTTGCCAGACTGAGCTCCAGTGCAGAAGGCAGTTGATCAATGATTCTCTCTGTCATCATTGATGTTTCCCCCTCTCCCTCTCCCTCTCCCTTCCTCTCTGAAATTAAAAAAAAAAGGGGGGGGAGGGACAGCCCAGGTCAGTGGTTGAGCACTGAACCAATGCACCAATCAAGAGATTAGGGTACATGTCCAGATTGTGGGCTTGATTCCCAGTAGGGGATGTCAGAATACAGCTGATGGACATTTCTCTCTCATTAATGTTTCTCTCTCTCCCTTTTCCTTCCTCTCTCTAAAAATTAATGAAGACATTTTAAAAAATATATTTTTATTGATTTCAGAGAGGAAGGGAGAAAAAGAGAAACATCAATGATGAGAGAGAATCATTGACTTGACTGTCTCCTGCATGCCCCCTAATTGGGGATGAAGCCTGCAACCCAGGCATGTGCCCTTGACTGGAATTGAACCTGGGACCCTTCAGTCTTTCAGGCTGACGTTCTACCCTCTGAGCGAAACTGGTCAGGGTAAAACATTTTATTTTTAAAGTAGATCTGCCCTAGGTGGTCCGGCTCAGTGGATAGAGCCTCGGCCTGCAGCGTGAGGGGCCCCAGGTTCAATTCCAGTCAAGGTCACATGCCCATGTTGCAGGCTTCATCCCCAACAGGGGGCATTCAGGAGACAGTGAATCAATGATTCCCTCTCATCACTAATGTTTCTATCTCCCTTTCAGAGCCTCTTCCTTCCTCTCTGAAATCAATAAAGATATATATTTTTAAAATTTTTAAAAAAGTAGACCTACAACAGCTTTCTTTTCAAAACATCAAAAATTTTGAGTTATTAAATTTTTTGAGGTATAGTTTAGTTGGATATGATGTTGAATACAAAATTAAAGAGTATCTTAAAGTGATAGGTTAAGGGTCAGTTTTTTAATTAACAAAACATCACAGAAGCACCAACTAAGTATTTGTAAAATAAAAATTTTAACACATTTTGCTCTTTTATTTTACTACTTCTTTTATCGAAAGATTCAGAACTTAAGATTAGATGGCTACTGAGTTACAGAAAAGACAAACTAACCTCTGCTAAGTAAGTATAAGTATAGCTGATAACTAGGCCTGCTAGTTAGTGGAATGGTTCTCCTTGTTCCTTTGCTTTGAGTTCCTTGTCATCATTACCCTACACTCACGAGCAGTCCGCAGTGAGTACTTGAGTAATTCTCCCTCGGCCTTTTAAGAGTTTAGCTCCTGGTTCACTATAACCATCGTCACCATTACTCCTATATTATTAGGTGATCCACCTAAGTGCTCTTCCTTATGGTTTGCTTCTTCTTGCATAATACAAATACTCTCACAAACCCTAAAGGTCCTATAAGCATTTGCTCTTACAACTCTTCCCTGTCCTATCAATCTTACCTTACATTATCCCTACTCTCTTAGCCCTCAATTCCTTCTTATCCAGCTTAAATCCCAGGGTTAATCATCATAATCATTTCCTTGCATATACCCTCAACACCTCTTTCTCATCCCCAATTACACAAAATCCCTTTTCTCTCCTCAATGTTTTCCACAGATAAAACAAAACTTACTTTAGATCACTCGCTAAGGTTCATTGGCTATCATATATGACTATTTATTAATTTATGTTCTGACAAATTTTTCTTTATCATTTACTTGTTTATATCATCATGGATTTAATTCAATGTGTTCTGATTCATTACTATAGTTATTTAGTTTGAGATTCAAATTGGTTGATTTGACCAGAGAAAGCCCTTTTAAGCTGGATCCTGGTTCTTTTGACATGTCCCCAGCATATTTATGGTAAAGATGTTCTGAATACAATTTGTACTTTTCTTCACTTTGCTTGGAATTTAGAAACAAAGATCTGAAATAACATTGGGCTCACTACTTCTGTGGTGTAACACTCAAACGCACACGCACACACTCACTCACATATTATGTGTGTGTGCATGTGTGTATATATAAACATCTATAACTATTTCCAGATCTCTATGTGTATGTGTGTAAGTCTTGAGTTCATATTTGTATTTTTAATTCCAATCTATTACACCCTAGGACTCTTTCTATCTTTAGCAAAATATTAGCTGCCATTATTCTCAATATATTTACTTATTTCCTCAAATTCACTCACTTATTTGCTTAATGTAATCAAAATCTGAAATACTTCTGCTCACTCTTTCTGTTCCCCACTCACCACTTCATATCTCTAGCTGCTAGCCTCATGCAGTGTAATTCCCCAACCATCTTCACTACCCTGAATCCTCAGTCACCATACTGATAAGTCCATGACAGAAAGGAAAGATCATCATTTCTCTTTAAAAACATTTTATTTCCTGTCTTTAGGTAAATATACTGACTAAGCATTTTGAGTATGTTATAATTTTTAGTATGGAAATTGAGCAGTAAAAGCTCTTTTACCTGGCTCCCTCCTCCCACCGCCGCCCCCGCCCAAACAAAAATCAGAAATGTGAGTACTTCCTTAAAAGAAAATCAGCTTTAATTAAAGGAAACTTTAGGTAAACTACTAGGACATTGGTACTTTTTTTTCCCCTTGAGGTACTATACTGTAAACTTATTTTGCTGATGAAAATCTACAAGACACAGAATTTACTTACAATTCAGACAGCTAGTATCTATTTGCCAATTTAGTGTGGCAAAGTCTAAAAGTAATGTCAAAGTTGGCCAAACTCTGCTCCTTATCTTAAGCAACATTTTTTTTTGTTATATTTAACTGCCATTCAATGTAAAACTGAGAACTGTCTTGTTGTCAAATTACTTTTGTTGAATGTGTTGGGCTGACATTAACAAAATTATATAGACTCTGCTGGCGTGGCTCGGTGGTTGAGCACTGACTTATGAACCAGCAGGTCAAGGTTTGATTTCCGGTCAAGGCACATGCCTGGATTGGAGGCTCGTTTCCTAGTAGGGATTGTGCAGGAGGAAGCAGATGAATGATTCTAGTTCTCTCTCCCTCTCCCTTCCTCTCTGAAATCAATTATATATATTTTTATATTATATAGGTTTCAGCTACACAATTCCACAACACATTCTGTATACTGTATTATGTGCTCACCACCCCAATCAAGTCTCCTTCCATCAGATGCAGATTTTAAATAATGCTGAGAAATCATAAAGCCTAACTAGTGTAGACGATAAACAATGGTCATTAAATATACTTTTTCATCTCTTCAGGTGTATCTACACTTAAATGAGCACAGTTTTCAGTGTGGAACATGTTCAAAATGCAAATTTTTTTAAAAAAAATATGAAGTATGTCCTAACAGCTTTTGAGATGGCAGTACTGTAACAGTCTTCTATTAAAACTACATAAACTTAAAAAAAAATTTTTTTTCATAAAAAAAATGCCATATTTCTAAGTTCCCAATACTATAAATTAACAAAGTTTCATCTATACTTTTATAGCTTCTGATAGGAGATGTTATCTGGTACCTTATTTATTATTTTTCACTATCAATTTTTCATTGAGTTCCTTAAATTCCTACTTTTAGAAGTATGATCTAATGAAATTCATAGAAAAATATACAACTGTAATAATAGTAGATGAAAGTAATATTAGGATGATGGACATATGCATAAGTGCTTTGCAAACAGAAAAGGATTCTAACCCAGTTTTGGTCACTGGAGGCTGTGAAGAGGTAAGGACAATGAACCTAAAATGAACCTGGCAGTCTCTAAAAAGATGAACATTACAAAGGAGAAAGAATAGGCATTTTCAGAAAGGGTACCAGAACCCAGGTAAGAGAGCGTGGTATGTTCTGAGGATCAGAAATAAGGAATTGAGGAAAAGAGACATTCAGGAAACATAAAAAAGGTCTTTGAAGATCAATTAGATTGGGGTAGGGGGAAGGGGGAGAGAAATGGGGGAAAGGAAATAGATGGATTATAGAATTCCTTTTTACTAATTATACCCTTAACAGTTTCCTAATCTATCTATAGTATTATAGAAATATATACTATTAGTAAAAAGAATGCATGGTCCTAACCGGTTTGGCTAAGTGGCTAGAGCATCGGCTTGCAGACTGAAAGGTCCCATGTTTGATTCTGGTCAAGGGCATGTACATTGGTTGTGGGCACATCCCCAGTAGATGTGCAAGAGGCAGCTGATCATGTTTCTCTCTCATTGATGTTTCTAACTCAATTCTCTATCCCTCTCAATTCTTCTCTGTAAAAAAAGAAAATCAATAAAGCATATTAAAAAAAAAAAAAAAAAAAAAGGCCTGTGTTTCATTCTTCTGATCTCTTTTCTGTCAATATTTCTTACCTTCCTTCTAACTAAATGTAAGGGTTAACACAAGAATCCTAAGGAAATACTGTGAAAATGTTTTAAAATATATTTAAAACTGGACTTCTGAAAGGATTCTGCTATTCCAATGGGTCTGGTCTTTTACTGACTACAATTCCTATAGCAAAAAGATGAACTAAGAATTGCATTCCAAGACTGGAACTAAGAATTGCAATCCAAGACTGAAATTTCACACCAGCACGACTTTTTAAAAAAATATTTTTATGTATGTAAAAGCAATCATTTAAAGGATAACCTGAGTAGACATGGCTATATTTATAAAGCATAAGAGATAGCAAATTTTCAAATTTTTGAGACTGGAAATCATTTTAAGTGTGTAAAAATACATTTAAAGAGTAACATGGGTGAACATCATACTTACAAAGTATAAGAGCTCTAAAGAATACAGATGGCATAATAGTCATTTTCTAATTTTCTGAGACTGAAAATCCTTCAAATGTTTAAAAATAATCTTTAACTCTGCATGCATTACAGGCAACTGGAAGTTTACTGTATACAGGGCTGGGGGCAAAGTAGGTTAATTCAAGGCTCAGGTGTGTGATCATAGGCAGGTTAAACTTAGCTCTGTAACTAAGTTTCATCACCCACACAATGAGGATGGAAAGATATACCTATTTCATAAAAGTTTAAGGAAATATTACATGGATATTTACACTAATATTAAAATCAGTCCATGGCACACGATAGGTAATCAGGAAAAATTTACTATTAGTATTAAGTTCATCTGCTACTAAGACAGAGAAAACTTAGAAAAGAAGAATACAGGAGTGACATGGTAGTTTTACAAATCCATCTATCTACCCATCTACCTATCTACTCTTGCAATCAATAGATTTATCAACTTGGGATTGCAAATAACTCTCTAAATAGGAAATGGAGACTGGGAGAAAAGGCTGGAAAAATTACCACAAGGCCAAAGAGAAACAGGAGAAAGAGAGAACAACAAGGAGAAAGGGGACAATTATGTTATCTTCCCTAGATTGATTTTCTTCTGGATAGTCTGAGCCTAGTGGTAGATGAGTGAATTTATGAGTCCAGCCACTTGGGAGAGAGACAATAGCTGGCATTGTCCCCAGTGGGGCCCTTGAAGTGCCCCTCTCCCACCAACCAAAACCTTTGGTGGAGAAAAGGCTTTACATCCATTACCCACACTCCAATCCCAAATAGATGGCCAGAAGCTTCCAACCTGTGAACATGAGCACGATGATAGTGCACACACCCATCAGGAAATGCATGAAGGACTTGTACTCTCTATCAGCTAAAATAGTATTTTAAAAAATCCAATACAGTAACACCTTGCTGTAACGGACCAATTCAGGCAAGGGGGTATCTACTAGTATTAAAGCTGAAACTCCATTATAGAATAAAGTAGGTTTTCTGAATGCATGTATTAAAAAAGTGACAAATTAGTTTACCTGTTTCTACTTATGAAGACACATCTGTGTAATTAAAATTAAGCATGTATGAAAAGTTTAATTTCACAGAAAAGTTTTCTACAAGTATTACTGTAATTTTAAATTTATACTAAATAGATCTAGTAAATGCACACATTCAACAGTCACCAAGAGTAAACAAATGCATAGGACTAGGATATGGCTTATCACACATCGGAACACGTTAAAACTGCTGCATAAAGTCATGTCACGTTAACACAGAACCAATTACCACGCACATGAGATGTGGTGTGATCATATGCTAATCATTTGCCAAACACTGTTTACAAGTGGTGACTTCTGGATTTAAATATGTAGACCAGTTGTAGATATTTTATGTAATATTTATGTCGGCAAAATTACTACACTGTTTTTTCCCCAACATATGGCCTGTTCCATAGAATTTGTTAAAAATAACAGTGGATTGCCAGGACCGGTTTGGCTTAATGGATAGAGCGTCGGCCTGCAGACTAAAGGGACCCAGGTTTGATTCCGATCAAGGGCATGTACCTTGGTTGCGGGCATATTCACAGGAGGGAGTGTGCAGGAGGCAGCTGATCGATGTTTCTCTCTCATCGATGTTTCTAACTCTCTATCCTTTTTCCTTCTTCTCTATAAAAAATCAATAATATATATATATTTTTTAAAATAAAAAATAACAGCGGATTAAAAAAACAAACAAACAAAAAACCCTGTTAATTTAATTATAAGCAAGTCTTGGTTAAAAAGCATTTTAAAATTAACAGGGTCTTAATTTTCACATATGACATATGAACTAAAAGTTTTGTCCGTTAAATCTGAAGTCAGTTAAATTGAAGGTTTACTGTATACAAGGGTGGGGCAAAAGTAGATTAATACAAGCCCGCAACCCAGGCATGTGCCCTAACTGGGAATCAATCCTGCAACCTTTTGATGCAAAGGACAATGCCCAGCCAACAGAGACACACCTGCCAGGGCTCTCTTTATACTCTAATGGAATATTAGATGCCACGCTTGGTCTATCTTACCAGTCGCTTGCTATAAAGTAGTGCTGTACTGCTGCCACTGGAAACTGCCCATTTAGAAAAATGCATGACATGTTCCAACTGTTTAGAGAGTCCAGCCACTTCCTGTTGTTGTTGCATAAGTTTTATGCGATGGTCCTTTGCCAGGCTCTAAAAAGAAAATAATTTCAAAATTAGTTCTATCTGTAACATATTTTAATGGTCATTTTCAGATTAACATATTAGAATAACCATTACCTTTAAGAAACTGAAAATCCTAGTGTTGTTTTTCCCCACTTAGTACTAGGGGTCAGTCTTAATGTAGCAAAACACTGTGCTCCAAATGCTCTGTATAGACACTGCTACCACCACCACCACGGCCTCCACAGCCCCTAACCTCCAACCTCAGTCTAGTTTTATATATTCTGGAACTTAGGTTTTTGTTCATGTTATCTTCCAATATCCAATAGGAACAAAAGCTGTATTATAGATTAGCTATAATACAGTAAATGCCTGTTAAATTCAATACCCACAAATGAAATAAATGTAACCTTTCCAGCAATCTATCATAGTCAAGTTACCAGATCACATAATTTATTCAATCACATGATTTCACCTTTTAGGCATTCTAGTCCTCATTGCAACCATATGGCAGACAATATGTATGCTTTGCATGTGGTAAAAAAGCTATAAAATTATTTTTGTCTAGTGAGAGTTACATGGGAACCCACTGATATAGTGACTAATGCGCCAATGCACTCTCAGAAAAGCTACAGAAAAGCAGTACATAAAATTTCTCTGAGGATTTACCTTTCTCAAGGGAAGTACATAAGGAAGAACATAGGTTAATAAAAAGTGAAGAACACTGAACTTGGGTTATTTTAAAGGTATCTATCCAAAAATCTCCTTTACCTGGCAAGGAAAGAAAAATAAAATAGGGTTTTCTACTGGCTTAAAAAAAAAAAAGTTCAAAACAAAACTGCTATGCTCCAATATGGACTTACAGCCTCAATAAAAAAAGAACCTAGATCCCAGCCATAGTCAGTTTCAAATGTTGAAAATACACATGTGCTAAGTTGAATTAAGAAAAAAACTACAGTGACTGTTAAATGGCTTTGTCATATTTAAAGTTCAGAGATAACTTACTTATTACATTATTTCTGACCTCTGTGAAAACTGTTTCTTTAGAGACATTCTAGAAAGAATAGAAATTCTGTTTATTGTTAATTAGGTTGCAAATTGAGAATCGAAGATCTAGTTTCTTGGTATTCCATAGTAACTATTTGGGCTGATTTCTCTTGATTCTTAGATAAAAACATGCCAGAAGAATGGGTCAGTATTTCTCTTCCTTTCTCCCTCTCTCTCCCCTCCTCATTCTAAAATCAATAAAAATATTTTTAAACAGTTCTATAAAAACTGTAAGGTAATAACGATTAAAAATAATACTGATGACTCATTTGATAAAATCCAACACTCTTTCCTGATAAAAACTCTCAACAAGGTGGGAGTACAAGGATCATACCTCAACATAATAAAAGATATATATGATAAACCCACAGCCAACATCATACTCAATAGGCAAAAACTAAAACCATTCCCTCTAAGAATAGGAACAAGACAGAGATACCCACTATTGCCACTCCTGTTTGCCATAGTACTGGAAGTACTAGCCATTGCAATTAGACAAGAAGAGGAAATAAAAGGCATCCAAATTGGAAAAGAAGAAGTAAAGTTATCCTTATTTGCAGATGACATGATATTGCACATAAAAAGCCCAAAAGACTCCATTAAAAAACTAATTGACTTAATAAATGAATTTGGCAATGTAGGAGGATACAAAATTAACGCCAAGAAATCCATGGCACTTCTATACACCAACAGTGAAATTACAGAAACAGAGACAAAATAAGCAATTCCATTTACCATCGCACCAAAAAAATTAAGATATATAGGAATAAATTTAACTAAGGAAATAAAGGACCTATATGCGGAAAACTACACGACACTGAAAAAAGAGATAGAGGAAGATGTAAACAGATGGAAGAATAACATCATTAAAATGTCCATACTTCCCAAAGCAATTTATAGGTTCAATGCACTCCCCATTAAAATACCAATGGCATATTTCACTGACCTAGAAAGAACTCTCCAAAAGTTCATTTGGAACAATAAAAGACCCCGAATAGCCACAGCGATCCTGAGAAAGAAGGGTAAAGTAGGAGGGATCTCAATACCAGACTTCAAGCTGTATTACAAAGCCACTGTTCTCAAAACAGCCTGGTACTGGCATAAGAACAGACATATAGATCAATGGAATAGAATTGAGAACCCAGATATCAACCCAAATCACTATGCTCAATTAATATTTGACAAAGGAGGCACAAATATACAATGGAGTCAAGACAGTCTCTTCAATAAATGGTGTTGGGAAAATTGGACAGATACATGCAAAAGAATGAAACTAGATCACCAACTTACACCATACACAAAAATAAACTCAAAATGGATACAGGTCTTAAACATCAGACGGGAAACATAAAAATACTAGAGGCATCCACAGGCAGCAAAATCTCAGACATATGCCAAAAGAACTTCTTCACTGATACTGCCCCTAGGGCAATGGAAGCTAAAGAGAAAATAAACAAATGGGACTACATCAAAATAAAAAGCTTTTTTACAGCAAAAGAAACCATCAACAAAACAACAAGAAAGCCCACTGTGTGGGAGAACATATTTGCAAATAACACCGCTGATAAAGGTTTAAACTCCAACATCTACAGACAGCTGATACAACTAAATAAAAGGAAGATGAATGATCCAATTAAAAAATGGGCAATGGACCTAAATAGAATATTTTCAAAAGAAGACAGAAGGAAGGCCAAAAGGCACATGAAAACATGCTCAAAGTCACTAATTATCTGAGAGATGCAAATCAAAACAACAATGCGGTACCATCTCACACCTGTCAGAAAGGCCAACATCAACAAATCAACAAACGACAAGTGTTAGAGAGGTTGCGGAGAAAAAGGAACCCTCGTGCACTGCTGGTGGGAATGCAGACTGGTGCAACCACTGTGGAGAACAGTGTGGAGTTTCCTCAAAAAACTGAAAATGGAACTCCCATTTGACCCAGTAATCTCACTCCTAGGAATATATCCCAAGAAACTAGAAACACCAATCAGAAAAGATATATGGACCCCTTTGTTCATAGCAGCACAATCTACAATAGCCAGAATTTGGAAACAGCCTAGGTGCCCATCAGCAGATGATTAGATAAAAAACTATGGTACATTTACACAATGGAATATATATATTCCTTCTTTTTTATGCTGCCATAAAAAAGAAGGAATTCTCATCATTTGCAGCAACCTGGATGGAACTGGAGATCATGCTGAGTGAAATAAGCTAATCAATGAAAGAGAAACACCACATGACCTCACTCATTTATGGATAATAAAGAACATTATAAACTGATGAACCAAAAGATAGATATAGAGACAGTAAAGCAACAAGCAGACTATCAAATTACAGCAGGTAGGGTAGGGAGATCTGGGGGAGATAATAGATCAACTGAAGGACTTGTATACATGCATATAAGTACAACCAATGGACACAAAACTTTGGGAAGGGAGGGTATGTATGGGAGTGGGGCCTATGTTAAAATATGTTCACAGATAATAATTTAATAAAAAAAATAATAATACTGATGACTAAGTTCATTCCTAGAGATTGGGAATTTGGTCATATTTTGTTCCTACATTTTTCTTCTTTTAATCTGCAAGTAACTTTGATTTACAGTGAAGTTTGAAATAACCACAGCCACTACTGATCTCTGAGAAAGCAATTTGAAGTCACTTTATATTTTAAGTAGAACTTTGAAAACATTTTAAATTGTTTAAATGCAGCTATAGAAACAAAGAACCTTGAAAAAACAGTTACTGTAAATACAGTCTGATTTTTCCTGGACAGAATTCTTCTTCACTAAATAAGAATTTGATTATAAAAGAACAAAGAATTATTTTAGTCTTTGTTTCCAGTATGGATGCTAAACCATGGTAGTGGCCTGCTTTGCAGGGGACAAAACTTTCTAACAATGACAATATAATTTTGTCAACTACAAAATAAAGATGTTGGCCTTGGCCATTGGCCTGAGGATTGAAGGGTCAAGGGCATGTACCTCAGTTGCAGGCTTGGTCAGGGTACGTATTAATTGGGTGAGGATAAACAACAACAACAAGATGTTGAACTAAATTATTTCTAGAGTTTTTTTCTAAACTTCAAACATGACAATTTTGTTTACTCTTTTTTCATTCTAAATTGCTTCTTTACTGTGAATTTCTACTGCATCAATATACTAAAAGAATTCTAAAATATCATGCAATTAATACGTTAATATACCATATAGAAGTTGTAACCTCCATATTATTTGAAGTCAAGCAGTGACTTTGGATCTCAACCTTCAGGAACATAAAACAGCTGATGAAGACAATAATATTTTTTTTATCTGCAGTGGCAAACTACTATCCAAAATGCCCTGGGCATTTCTCTTGAAATAATGACTTTAGCAATTTAACACTATAAAATGTTAATGGCAGGAGGCCCCTCCTTTTACCTAATATCTCATAAGGTTAAAGGTATATTGTTGAGAACTAAACATAGTTAACTTAATGTATTTTTCCAAAAATTTTGTTCAATTGCACTCCACCCCTTTGGTGATGCAAAATTGTCACTTCAATGAATCTCTAAAATGATTCATCTCTTCAACATTTACAGAGTTTCTCCTGTAAGCAAGGCATTATGTTTGACACTGTTAAGTAAATAATAAGAATTAAGACATTCCTAGTGGGAGTGTCAACCTACTTGCTAGATGGGACACTGCCGGATTCATGAATTGTTTAATATAGCAAATCAGATCTTCAAATTTCTTCCCTTGTTTTTTTCTTTAATACTTCACACACAAGTTTCTAATAATTTCTAATAATTATTTACATTTGCCTTATAAGGCATGTTAAAAGTTCAAAAATGCTTAAATTCTTTTGTTCAGAATTATTTTATTTGGAAATCAACTGGAATAAATTATAATCTATTAAAAAACCATGATAACTCTGGCCTGTGTGTGCAGTGGTTAGAGCACTGGCCCGCACACCGAAGGGTCCTGGTCAAGGGCATGTACCTGGGTTGCAGGTTCGATTTCTGCCTCGGTTGGGCTTTGTGCAGGAAGCAACCAATTGATGTGTCTCTCTCACATGGATGTTTCTCTTCCTCTTTCCCTTCCCTCTACTCTCTCTAAAAATCAATGAAAAAAATATCTTCAGGTGAGGATTAACAAAAAGCAAACAAAACTAACATTATGTTATAATTTGGTTTAAAAAAAGTTATTACTGGATATACCAAAATAAATGTATTTTCTATCATTTCCACAAATAGTCCAAGTTCTGGAAATCCCATATATTATATATGGGCATCAACTGCATTAATGCTATTAAATAACAGCACCCATTCATATTTGCCCTCAGTTGAACTTTATTAATGTAGATTCACTCTAAATTTTTCAGGCTACAGTACTATAAAGATTGACATTAAAAAAAAAAAAAGAAAAAGACATTCCTACTGTTATATAAAAAAGCCATAAATCATCAGCTTAACAATGCAAAGCCTGACAAAGGAAAACATGAGAATAGAGAAGAAATACTATTGAATCATAAAATAATTATATAAAAAAAGCTACGATTTCAAATTCGCAAATACATGTGAAATTCTATTAAATCACTACAACATACTAGTATGCTGCATTAATAGTAACTTACCTCAAGCTGATGCAGTAGAGCTTTTCCTTTTTTATTTATTTCTACCATTAATGTAAATATAGCAACTTTAATATCTTGTTCCACTTGCTTTTGATTTTGATTTACTTCAATTATCCTGAAAATTAAATGAAAAGGGGGAAATATAAGGTAGGAAAATTGTTTTACAACATTTAAAATTGAATTTTTTAAGGTCTAAATTAGACCAAAATGTTTTCAGCACTTAAAAGCTCAGCTATTTCTAGGATGCTTCAGTTTAAATTGACTTTCTTAAAAATAATACAGCAGAAATACTATTTTCTGAAAGACATAGTCATTTAATCCAACCTTAAAAAATCAAAATGCATAAAAAACATTTTAAGAATATATGTTCTAGGAAGATTATGATAATACCCAGGAAAATCAATACTCAGCCTAAAAGGATGATAAAGAAAACCATGAATCTGAAAGAGTTCTATTTTATTCACTGCAATTAAGAAGTAGGAAAGGGTAAATGTGTCACTTTTATTTAGTCATGTGAACTACTACAGTACTCATTATACCTGAAAACAAGAAGCAAAAATACAACAGTTTGTTACTTTTAATAACACATTTGTCTTTAAATAAGCAGCTAAATAACTACTTTGTTTAATCAACCACCAAATAAGTTTTTTCCTTTGATTAGAAAAAATGGAAATGCTGTTTTCATAGAGATAGAGGACATAGCAATACACCAGAATATCTTTTTTTTTATAAAGCAGAAAAGGATAATGAGACACCCACTGAAATTATAAGAGAAATAAAGCTTCTTTTCTTTGGTTTCTCCCATAGTTACCCTCCAAATCTCTTAAGACTAAAAAGACAGCCGAAACCAGTTTGGCTCAGTGGTAGAGCGTCGGTCTGCGGACTGAAAGGTCCCAGGTTCGATTCTGGTCAGGGGCATGTATGTTGGTTGCGGGCACATCCCCAATAGGGGGTGTGCAAGAGGCAGCTGGTCGATATTTCTCTCTCATCGATGTTTCTAGCTCTCTCTCTCTCCCTTCCTCTCTGTAAGAAATCAATAAAATATATTTAAAAAAAAAAAAGACTAAAAAGTCAGATTTTATTCTCTGTTGGAAAATCTTTAAGATAATTATTTCATATCAATATTGGCTAGAGGTTCAGAAAAACTAATATAAATTCTCATGATTGTAAGACAGGATAAGAAAAGGACAATCAGTACAATGTTTGCACATGTGTGAAAATGAATGGTCAATTAGTCAGACTAGCAAATTTAATCCTTCTATAAACAGGTAGGCAATAAAGATATAAACAATTAACACGTACGCCAAAGATTCTTTAATTTTTACAATTCAAAAACCAAAATACTAAAAAAATAAAAGCCCACCAAATTCAGACTAATTTTAAGACTTACTGTTTAAAAAGCTACAATCATGAAGAAGTTGGGTATTGGCAAAACACACACACACACACACACACACACACACACACACACAGCGGAACAGAACATATCCAGAAATCCTCACACACATACAGTCCACTGATATTCTACAAAGGTGACAAGGTTATTCAGTAGCAACAGAATAGTTTTGTCAACAAATGGAGTTGGAGCAAATGGACATCCATATGTCAATTTAAAAAAAGAAATACTGTATACATAGTGAATGAATAAGAAAAAATTCAAAAGGGTAAGTTTCACCAACGGTGGATCTTTCACATAAAATTAGTAATCTAACAATTGCTACCATTTGACACTAAATGGTAGAAATTTGACTATCTTTATCTCTCCTTATTCTATAAATATTAATTATAAGTTTTTAATTATTCAGTTACAAAATATTTTAAACGCACCAATTCACCAATTACTCTACTTAGAAAAATACAGTATTATGATTAAAATATGGTAAGGGAAATAGTTTGTGGTTAACTATAGTTACGTTAAAAAGAAAGGTAAAATGAAATGAGTGCTAATCAGAATAAAAACTGAGACATACTAAAACAGTTATTACCACAATATATAACGACTAGCTATACTACTAAATAGCCAAAACCGGTTTAGCTCAATGGATAGAGCGTCGGCTTGGGGACTGAAGGGACCCGGGTTCGATTCCGGTCAAGGGCATGTACCTTGGTTGCGGGCATATCCCCAGTAGGGGGTGTGCAAGAGGCAGCTGATCGATGACTCTCTCTCATCGATGTTTCTAACTCTCTATCTCTCTCCCTTCCTCTCTGAACAAAATCAATAAAATATATAATATTTTATACTACTAAATAATGCAACACCAAGAAAAGTTAACTTATATTTAAGAATTTTTTTTAAATCAAGTAAACCAAGGAATTCCTTGAAAAAATTTCCCAAATGCCCAATCCTAGTCATGTTCCAAAATTATAACAGTTTTTGATTGCTCTTATGGAAGATGAACCACAAAAGCCTTACAAAATTTTCTCTGAGAACAGCACTCAAATCCCCTAGGAGGCCTCTCTTATCTAGGCTTTTTCTAATAAGCATTTCTTGATTTATTTAGGCAGACATGTTAAAAGAAAGGGAATATAGAATTTCAGAGAGATACAAATTGAAACAATGTGGTACCATCTCACACCTGTCAGAATGGCTATCATCAACAAATCAACAAACGATAAGTATTGGCGAGGTTGCGGAGAAAAGGAACCCTCGTGCACTGCTGGTGGGAATGCAGACTGGTGCAACCACTGTGGAGAACAGTGTGGAGTTTCCTCAAAAAAATGAAAGTGGAACTTCTATTTGACCCAGTAATCCCACTCCTAGGAATATATCCTAAGAAACTAGAAACACCAATCAAAAGGAAATATGCACCCCTATGTTCATAGCAGCAGAATTTACAATAGTTAAGTTTTGGATTCAGCCTAGGTGCCCATCAGCAGATGATTGGATCAGGAAACTATGGTACATCTATCTACACAATGGAATACTATGCTGCCATAAAAAAGAAGGAATTCTTATCATTTGCAGCAACCTGGATGGAACTGGAGAACATTATGCTGAGGGAAATAAGCTAGTAAATGAAAGAGAAACACCATATGACCTCACTCATTTATGAATAAAGAACATTATAAACTGATGAACAAAAAGATAGACAGACATAGTAAAGCAACACACAGACTGTCAAATTACAGCAGGGAAGGTAGGGAGACATGGGGGAGATAAGACTTATATGCATGCATATAAGTATAACAAATGGACACAAAACTCGGGGGGGGGGGGGTAAGGGCATGTAAGGGAGTGTGTGTGGGCGGAGGGGCAATTGTAAGATCTGTACACATATAATACCTTAATAAAAAAATGAAAGAAAGAAGAATTTCATATGTGTTATAAAGATTGCAAAATGTCAGTGTGTGCCCCAAATGGGATAAAAAAAGGGAGCCAGACAAACTCCCTCTTCTCCACAGAGGCCAGTGGTTTCCTTCACCAATCACTGATTTGTGAGATAGGAGCCTTGGACAGATGGAAGACAAAAACATAATAGATAATATGCAGAAACTGTGTAAGTACTGTACCTGACAAGGAATAAAAGGTGTGTGAAACAGTGTAACAATCCCTGTCTCCTGGTCCTAATGTCTCCAATTCATTGCAGTTAAGATGACAGCCCAGAGGCGACATCTCAAAATTTAGCAATACTTAAAATAGCATTTATATATAATTCAGTGTTTCCCAAAGTGTGGTACGCGTACCCGCAGGGGTACGGGAAGAGTTTGGGAGGTGGTATGCATTGCACCGGAGTTTGCTGGGGATATGCACTGCACCATGCTTAGCTGCGCCTAATTCTATGTTCTCATGAGTACGAGGGGTACTCAGCGTTACGAAAATTATAGAAGGGGTACACATATGTCAAAAGTTTGGGAAACACTGATGTATATAATCAAGTATTAAAATATTTTACACTAGCAAAAACAGTTGATTTTATCTTCAAAATCATGGTATTTCTTTAAAATTGAAAAATACTGATAATGATGAATTATCGATAACTTAAGTGAGCTGCTATAAATGCAGTGTATCATCAAAATAGTTTTAAATTTCATGGCTGGCTGAAAAGATGCTTTCAAACCCAAACTTTCCAGAAACCCTAAATTTTGTGGAAGTCTTATTTGAGTCACAGCTTAATCTATTTCACCAGGAGTTAAAATGTGTATTCTTAAAGTGAGTATATTTAACACATTATATAAACATAACTTATTATACCATAAATGTAAACTTACCTGTTCTGGATCTGATTCCCTGTGAATTTGATATACTTTGTTTTTTCCATCAATTTGGTGATCAGTGTATCTATGATCACTTTCTGATTCTGAAAAGCTTCTTCTATAAATTGGTATCTGAAGAAATAAGTAAATTATTATGTGAATTAATCTGTATAAAATGAGGAAAAGCCCAAAAGCAAAGAAATAACAGAAAATTATTTAAGATTATAAGAATATAAAGGATATAAACCATCAGTTAAAATACAAAATATAGGTGGCCCAAAAAAATTGTATACACACACTTTGAATAATTACAAAGGCAGTGTTAATTAAAATACATTTCATTTTCAAAATTGAGCTATCAGCTGTAAAAGGGTGTATACATGGGTGAGGGGAGGGGTCACACACCCTGTATATATCTCTGTAAGGAAGGTTTTCCTCTCCTGGGGAAATTATCCGCTAGAAAGAGGGAGTCTAGCACTGGTTTAGTGGTTCAGCATCGACCTATGAACTAACATATGAACCAAATTCCTGTCAGGGCACATACCTGGGGTTTGGGGCTCAATTTCCAGTAGGGAGAGTGCTGGAGGCAGCCAAATCAATGATTCCCTCTCATCACTGATGTTTCTATCTCTCACTCCCTTTCCCTTCCTCTCTGAAATCAATACAAATTTAAAAAATAAAATAAGTAGAACAATATGTGGGGGCTAGTGATTCCTAGCTCAGTGTGATTTTGCTCCCAGGATCATGCATTTTTAGTTGTGACAACTGGGAGGATGCTACTGGAATCTAGTGATTAGAGGTCAAAGATAAAGCCAAATACCACATAAAGCATCAGACAGCCCCCACAACAAAGAATTATCTATGGCCTAAAATGTCAATAGTGCCAAAGTTGAAATATCCTATATAATAAAAGCCTCATGTGCCAAGTGTCCATTTGTCCATTTAACCAATCAAAGCGTAATATGCTAATGATATGCTAAGGCTGCTCAATAGCTCACTATGATGTGCACTGACGTATACTGACCACCGGCGGGGGGGGGGGGGGGGGGGGGAGACAGTCGACCAGTTGGCGAGTCACTATGATGTACATTGACCACCAGGGGGCAGACGCTCAATGCAGGAGCTGCCCCCGGTCGTCAGTGCACTCCCAGAGGGGGAGTGCCACTCAGCCAGAAGCCAGGCTCACAGCTGGTGAATTCAGTGGCAGTAGCCTCTCCTGCCTCTGCAGCAGTCAGACAGCTCCCCCTGGGGGTCCCCCATTCCCATCCACCCCCTCCTAGTGCACAAATTTTGTGCACCAGGCCTCTCGTTCCTAAATAGGCCAAACAAAACGTTATCTGCAGACTGCCATTTGGCTGGGTGCCAGCAGCCTCTATTTTCATAAAGCTGTATTACAAATCTTTGTATAGGTTGAAAGATGTTGGTACCTATGCTCTTTATGTTCTAATAACTGGCAATCCCGACATGTCAGTTTGTCACATGTTTCACAGTAAAGCTTTAGCTGCTCCTTCTTATGAAAAGGACAAAACACTGGTCGCTGACTGGTTACACCAACTGCTTCTGGAGAAACAATGAGAGGCAAAAAAAGAAAATTAACTTAACCGAATAGTAAATAATTAGATTATTTAAATCTAAATCTACTGATATATAAAAGAACTACAATTTCATCAACAACATCACTACTTCTAGGTTTTATATATGTTAAAATGTTAAGTATTCTCAGCATTTCAGAAGGAAAATATAAATGAGCTCTTCACTTTCCAATGTGTAAATTTCAATTAATTCAGGAAAAAATGTTGTTAAAAATATGCTTTATAAAATTAAAAAGTCTTAATGGCCCAGGTTAAGTAAGTGTGAACCAATTTGATGTTTTCTATTCCAAGTATGATGGGGGGACATTTTAAAAAATGCAATTCAGAAAATATAATGAAGATGTGATAAAAAAAAAAAAAGAAAAAGAAAAAGAAAATTCACTTTTGTATAAATACTAACAAAGGAAGGATACCCATCAACACAAGTAAATATAAAGTTTTTACTATTATACAGTCAGTCATCCATTTAACTTTACAATAGTTAACCAGACTAGGAATAAAATTGGGCAATACTTACTATAATGTTAAATGGGAAAATTCAGAATACAAATATGATTAATTAAATAGTAAACACCACAGTTATCTAATAATTAAAAATAAAATTGAGATATTTCAGAAAAAATCTCACCTCCAGAGATAATCAATATTAATAACCTGGTATGTGTTCCTTTGGATGTTTTTCTATATAACTATATATATTAGTGGGTATTTTGTTTTATAAAATTTAAAAACCTCACTAGTCTCTTGTAAATGTTTTTCCCCTCCCTTACCTCTATGTTAGCTATCTTTCTGTGTTAGTAAATACACCTATGTACTAGAGGTCTGGTGCATGGATTTGTGCACACTGCAAGGAAATTAATTAGAAGGTGGCTGGCAGGACTGGGTGAGATGGGCTGGACACACCCTGGAGCCAACCTCCCGCTGTCCTTCCCTGGCTGGCTGCACCTAGGGCAGTGCCAGGGCTCAAAGGGTATCTGTGGAGTGAGCAGGGTCCCTCCAGCAGGTGGGTTCCTTCAGCCTGGCCTGAAGGGATTGGGCCGAAACCGGCAGTCTGACATCCCCTGAGGGGTTCCACAGTGCAAGAGGGCACTCTGCAAAGTTGCTGTTGCTCGGCAACGCCTGCATTGAGCATCTGCCCCCTGGTGGTCAGTGCATGTCATAGCTAATGGTTGGAAGTGGCTGAGGCATGATAGACAGTAGTCCATCAAAAGGATATACTACCTGGTAGTGGGCATTTAAATGTTTCTCATTTTTCAATATTGTGTGTTAGTGTTGAAACAAACAAATGCAATACATAAGTCATTGAATGTTTCCGTAAGACAAATTCCTAACAACAGAATTGTTGGGCCAAATGATAATTTATATATACATAACTAAATGGTACTCAGAAAACTATACCAATTTGTACTCCTACTCGGGTAGACTATTAGCTTACTAATAAAATAACTAATAAGGTTTTCTCAGTATTTTTAATCTTTACCAATTTTACTAAAAAAAAAATATTTCACAACCTTTAGAGACATTTCTTTAAAAAAATATATTTTATTGATTTTTTTATAGAGAGGAAGGGTGAGGGATAGAGAGTTAGAAACATCTCTAAGAGAGAAACAGTGATCAGCTGCCTCCTGCACAACCCCCACTGGGGATGTGCCTATAACCAAGGTACATGCCCTTGACAGGAATCAAACCTGGGACCTTTCAGTCCGCAGGCCAACGCTCTATCCACTGAGCCAAACTGGTTAGGGGTAGGTGTATTTCTTTAATAATGAAGATGAGAACTTGACATTCATTAACCATTTGCATTTCTTTTAAGAATCTGTTTATAACCTCTTACTTTTCTGTCCAATTCTCTTTCACAACTTGTAAACACATTTAATATTTTTTGCCATGCACATGATAGTTCTTATAAGTGTATCAAAACATGTCAGCATAAAAGGGGGGAAAATGGTGGGAGGAATAGAGAAAAAGAGATTAAAAGAACTAATTCATTACCTGGAGATACTTCCTCTTTCTGTCTCACAGTATGGTCTTTTGTGAACTTCACCCTTTGATGAGCTCTGATGCATGTCTTACAGAGCCATTCAACACACTCTACACAAAACCCATTTGCTTCTGCATTGTCCTCACAGCTTGTACACACCTAATAAAAGAAACATGTCACATCAATTTGAGAAAAATGAAAAGGTGGTCACAACACTAATCATATATAAATGATACAGCCATACTTGACTATCGGTTATGTTCGTAACAGGGTTTAAAAATTTAAACTGACATTATGCTTATTTATTTTGTTTTGTTAATCCTTACCTGCAGATGTTTTTTCCACTGAATTTTAGAGTGGAAAGGAAAGAGTGAGACAGAGAGAGAGAAAAATATCAATTGGTTGCCTCCCATACATGCCATGACCTAGGGTCAGGATTGAGCCTGCAACCAAGATACATGCCCTTGATCAGAATCAAACCCAGCACCTTTTAGTTTGAGGGCAAATACTCTAACCACTAAGAAAACTGGCTAGGGCCTGACATTATGTTTTAAACTATAAACATATGAAATGAAAATATAAGGACAATGTCCTTAGTACCATACAGCAAATATTGCAGGCACTATGCAAGTGTTGAGGTTACAACAATCAGGAAAAGCAAGCACAGGACCTGCCCTTATGACACCAAGGCTCATAGATGAAATATGGGTTCAAATCCCAGTTCCCCACTTACCAGCTGAGTACTCTTGAGCAGGTTATTTAGAATGCTTATGTTTATTTATTTAAGATTCTTAAATTGATTTTGAGGGAGAGAGGAAAGAAAAAGGGGAGAGGAGGAGAAACACTAATGTGAAAGAAACATCGATTGTGACAACATGATGGACTTTAAGGGTACTAAGCTAAGTGAAATAAGTCAGAGAAACACAAATACCATATGATATCACTTATGTGCGATATCCAAAAACAAAATAAACCACAAATAAGACAGAAAACAAACCCACAGATACAGAAAACAAAGTTATGGTTGCCAACTGGGTGAAAAAGATTAAAGGATTAAGAATTACAAAATGCCATTTATAAAAATAGGCACCAGGATGTAAAGTACTACATAGAGACTATAGTCAATAATATTTTAATAACTATGTATGTGTCAGATGGGTAACAGACTTAATAAAGTAACCATTTTGTAAGTTACATAAATGTCTAGTCACTATGGTGCACACCTGAAACTAGTATGTCAACAATAATTTTAAAGCTTTTTAATTTAAAAAGAATTAAAAATAAATTGGTTAACATTACAAAATGAATTAAAGTAATTTCTGAGTATACCAAAACTATATATATATATAGGATATATATATATATATATATATATCCTATAATACATAATGTAAATATATATTTATACAGTATTTTATTACATTGATATTTATTTTAATAAATATGAACATATTACTAAATATATTAATATTTTTATATATTTGGAGAAAATAATTATGCCAATGTAGTTAAGAATCAATACTTTTGGTACTACAGAAGTGAGATAAAACTATATATATAAAAGCCTAAGTGACCTATATGACCAAACAACCAGAATGACAGGCATTGATACTCAAAGCAGGAACTGCCCCCTAGTGGTCAGTGTGCTCCCACAGCCAACCAACCTCCTGCAGGTCCCTCTTGTCCCTCTCTTCCTCCCCACCCCAGTACCAGCAGGCCCCAATCACCTGATCGGGGCTGGGCCCCAGACTGGGACAGGGAATCTGGGGTGGGCGACAGTAGCCGTGGCCCTTTTCCCAGGGGAGCCAAGGGCCGACTCCCTCCTTGGGGCTGGCAGCCAACCTCCCATACTCCGTCCCTCCCCCAGACAGCAGCCCCTGATCATCCCCGCGCCCCCCCTACCACCACCACCTGCCTGCCACGGTGGTGGTGTGGCAGCAAGGGAAGGAGGAGGAAGAAAGGTGGAGAACTGCATGGTGGTTGGGTGCCATTCTTGGCAGCGTCAGCATCCCTGATCAGCCTACTGCCTGCCCACTACAGTGGCAGTGCAGCACCAAGGGAAGAGGAGAGGGGGATACAGGGAACTGTGTGGTGGCAGGGCACCAACGATAGCGGCATCAGTCTCCTGCGCCCCTTCCTTCAGTGGCCAGTGACCATCGCCTCCTCTCCTGACCCTGCTGGAGCCTTCGGGCCCCAATGGGCCCTGATTGTGGCCAAGCTTAGGGACCCCATACATGAAATTTATACACTGGGCCTATAGTATAAAATTAAAAAAGTAAAAGCCTTGTTAAATGGCTGAGTTGGTTGGTACAATTTTCTGTACACCAAAAAGTTTCAGGTTCAATTCCTGGTCAGAGCATATATCTAAGTTGTGGGTTTGATCCAAGGATGGGGTGCATATGGGAATCAACTAATTGATGTCTCCCACTCTCCCTTCTTCTCTTCGTAAAGATCAATAAGAACATATCCTCGAATGAGGATTTAATAAATAAAAAAAAGTGAAACACTTATAAATCAGACTTATATATACACACTTCTGAGGTATTTTTTTCTTTCTTTTTCTTTTAAAGTAAAAGTATATTAAATCATTCTCCTGAAAGACATAGTAAAATAACCCAATGGTGTTAAGCATTCTAGTACCTATCTTGTGGTCTCCAAATACCTTTCCAGATTAAAAGAAACCAAAGAAATGGCTGGTTTCAGGTCTAGAACAGAAAATGACCAATATCTTGTCAAAAGAGAAAGCAAGAGAAAATGCAATGACTATGGTGATTGTGTCAAGAGGACTAAGGAATCAAAGTGAAACTCCTATTGTCAAATGGCACAATTTGAGCACCAATAAAAATAACCACAACACATTTTATGTTAATAATCCATGATTTTATAATGATAAACACCTACCTACCACTCATGACTCACCATAATAGAAAATAAGTTACTACTCTAAAAATTAGCAATGAGCCCAGCCAGTGTGGCTTAGCGGTTGAGTGTTAACCTATGAACTAGGAGAGGTCAGGGTTCTATTTCAGGTTAGGGCACATGCTGGATCCCCAGTAGTGGATGTGCAGGAGGCAGCTGATCAATGATTCTCTCTCATCATTGATGTTTCTCTCTTCTCTCCCTTCCATCGTGAAATCAATAAAAATAAATATACTTTTTTTTTAATTAGCAACTAGCTCTAACTGGATTGGCTCAGTGCATAGAACATCTACCTAAGGACTGAAAGGTGCCAGGTTCGATTCCGGTCAAGGACATGGACCTTGATTGCAGGCATGTCCCCATTAGGGGGTGTGCAGGAGGCAGCTGATACATGTTTCTCATCGATGTTTCTAACTCTCTATCCCTTTCCCTTCCTCTCTGTAAAAAAAAAAAAAAATAATAAATAAATAAATAAATAAAAATCAATAAAAATAATTTTTTTTAAAGTTAGCAACTGAAGGGAAAGAATCAATGTTTAACTTACCTTCCCAGCTTAACCAAAGAATAGAGGAAGAAAACTTTACATGTTAAGATGAAGGGGAATGATAGAATGACAACATAATCATTTTACAAAGCCCTACTGAAATATAGATTTGGCAGTGATCATTAATGGACATAAACATCAGAAAAGAGAAAGACAACCAAACATCATATGCTTGCCAACTGAAATACAAATGGACATATGAGAGAAAGTATTTTATACGCCCCCTCACCTCTCCACCCCTGCACCCAACGGGACCATAATCTAATCTAGCCTCTACATTTTTATTTCCAGTTTATACAAAATACAAAAGAGAGAAAAGCATATTAAATGACTTTATGGAAATGGTCAGCAAAATTCAGAATAGGGCTAACTCTACTGAACTAACAACCCAGTTTATCCAACAAATATGTTAGAAGAGAGAAAAAAGAAAGACAGTGAGGCAAAGGGGTAATTTGAGATTACATTAAAGATATTTTTTAAGTAAATCAACCAAATGCATTATGTAAGCCTTATTGGATCTTTATATAAACAAGCTACTGTTTAAAAAAAGAAACTGCAACAGAGATATTTGATCAGTATCTGAATGTTTAATAGTAATAAGTAATTACTATAAATTTTACATATAAATTAATATGTGATTATGTTTTTTTAAAATTTATTTTTTCATAGTAATAAATACTGAAATATTTATGGATTACATTATATAAAACCTGGAATTAACTTCAACATAATCTAGAATGAATGTGTGTGAGTGTGTTGGGGGGTGCAGGGTTATTTTACATAAAACAAGAGTTATGGACAATTGAGCTAATGGGTTCATGGGAGTCTGTTATGCTAAACTGTCAATTTTGGAGAATGATTGAAATTATCCATCACAAAAGTTTTTCAAACTTTATGTCTAGCGATAATCTCTTCAGAGTCCATTATGACCACAGAAGACATTTCTATCTTATAAATATACCACATTCGCCGGGACCGGTTTGGCTCAATGGATAGAGCGTCGGCTTGGGGACTGAAGGGCCCCGGGTTCGATTCCGGTCAAGGGCATGTACCTTGGTTGCGGGCATATCCCCAGTAGGGGGTGTGCAAGAGGCAACTGATCAATGACTCTCTCTCATTGATGTTTCGAACTCTATCTCTCTCCCTTATACTCTGTACAAAAATCAATAAAATATATAAAAAAAAAAAAAAAAAAAAATATACCACATTCAAAACCAATTCTATACACCTCTGTCTACTTCCCCGTCCTCTTGGCAGTGGGGCCTCTCTGATCTTCCACATGCAATCAGGTATTACCAAGTCCTGAGTGGACTATGACTTATCCCTTCCTTTCCTTATCACCACCATGCTAGTTCAACTCTACCCCTCACTTACTGCTTCCTAACCCCAACTCATCCTACAGTATCACCTAAGTCTTTATTCCCAAAATATCCTTACAAGCATCTTATTCTTTGAATCAAACTTAATACTCTTCCCACCTCCACTTACTTAACACTGAAGATGTCTATTGGACTCTATCTCTAGTTTAATTTATAACTTTTTAAAAATATATTTTATTGATTTTTTACAGAGAGGAAGGGAGAAGGATAGAAAGCTAGAAACATCGATGAGAGAGAAACATAGATCAGCTGCCTCCTGCACACCACCTAACGGGGATGAGCCCGCAACCAACATACATGCCCTTGACCAGAATCGAACCTGGGACCTTTCAGTCCGCAGACCGACGCTCTATTCACTGAGCCAAACTGGTTTCGGCTATTATAACTTATATGTTTCTGTAATAAAAGCAGAATAAACAAACACTGAAAACTGATTATAAAGAGACCTAAAGCAGCCTCTTAAAATTGTGTCCTTTAGATGTGAATTCCTTCAATTCTCACCTCTTAACATAATTTCATGTCTTATCATTTCTCCACCCTGATGATTAATACTGCTTTGTTTTTTAATTTTCTGAATTGATCATTCACATGTATTACTAAAGTTCACCTAAACTGTAATTGATGTGTGATGTGACTAACAAAATACATCTGAAAATATTATCATATATAAAGCAAAGTGATAGGGCACTCTAGACAACAGAAACAAAATCAGTAGTATTCAGAAGGGAACTTCCAGTGGGGCCATTTGACACTGTAGCTCACATAATTATTATTCCGTTCCTTAAAGCAGATTTCACAACAACTAGAAAAGTTTATTCTCTGCATCAAACCCTGTTTTGACCTTGATGAAAGTTCACATTAGGAAGAGTTATAGATATTTCTTAAACAAAAAGTTATTTTAGTTAGCAGTGGTCATATTCATTTAAAGTGACCCTACGTTCCTATAGTTCCCAATGGAGGAGAAAAAAACTAACAAACATAAAACACTGAAAATGAAAGCATAGAAACTTAGCTGTATGATTATTGAAGTCCTAAATATTACTTTTTAGATTAACTATCAGTTTTTTATACTCAGATTCAGTTCCTTCAGAGATATTCTATTCCAATTGAAGAAACTGCCTAAAGAAACTATCAATGATTCATGATCCAAAAATAAGACTAATACTCTACACTTAAATTTAGCACATACTGCAGAATTATAGCTCACCTCTGCTATAGTACATCCACTAGGAACCTGACATTTAGATATAAGAGGCCAACAGAAATGTTCTACATATGGGTTTATGGAAGTAAGGAAAAATGAAAAATACCATTGGACGTTTAAATGTAATACCTCGGACAATGCCACCAAATGAGGCTTTCAAAGAAATACCATGTAGGAAAGACGACTTTCTTAAAATGTAGAAACTGTATTTGATCAAAGACATAAAATTTTCATATATATCATTAAAGAGCTTATAATTAAAAACAATTTTTAAAAGGGGGGCTTAAAATAGAAAAACTACATAATTGTCAATACAGAGTAAAATTACAAAAAAAAATGAAATTAAATAATGTCAAGTATAGAATAAAGGTTTTCTCTGCCAGGATAGGTAAGACAGAAGTGTCATGAGAGCTTCTAGTTGGCACTATTTTATTCCTTCAGATGAACTAGTCATTATTCTTCATATACATATATATCTTTAAAATAGTTTATCACTAAAACCAGTTTGGCTCAGTGGATAGAGTGTCAGCCTGTGGACCGAAAGGTCCCAGATTTGATTCTGGTCAAGAGCATGTAACTTGGTTGCGGGCACATTCCCAGTGGGGGGTGTGCAGGAGGCAGCTGATCAGCGTTTCTCTCTCATCCGATGTTTCTAACTCTCTCTCTACCTCCCTTCCTCTCTGTAAAAATCAATAAAATATATTTTTTTAAATAGTTTATCATTTCATAGATATAATGCTCTAATGTTTGACATCTTTTATTTTCAAGTCCTCCAACATTTCTATCTGCCTCATTAAGAGGAGGCAAAAGGTCCCCGCTGGTGTTGCTTAGTGGTTGAGTATCAACCTATGAACCAGGAGGTCATGGCTCAATTCCCCATCAGAGCACATGCCCAAGTTATGGGCACGATCCCAGTAGAGGGCATGCAGGAATCAGCCAATGAATGATTCTCTTTCATCACTGATGTTTCTCTCTCTCCCTCTCCTTCTCTGAATCAATAAAAATATATTTAAAAATAAAAAAAAGAGGAGGCACAAGATTCAAGACTTAATACACTCACCTGATTAGATTTTTCGACTGTACTACTGGGAACCTCAGTAGTATCCTTCACAAAAAAATTATCTATGATGTGTCGCTCTGCACATTCTTGGCTGCAAACTGGACATCGAATGACTCCCACTGAAACAGATAAAAAATTGAGATATAACTGACATAATATTATATTATTTTCAGGTGTGTAACATGATGACTTGATATATGTATGTACTGTAAAATAAATCAGCAAAATAAGTTAACATCCATCACCATGCAGTGACAAAATTGTTTCCTTGTGGTAAGAACTTTTAAGAACCACCCTGCTAACTTTCAAATATGCAATACATTATATTATTAACTACAGTCACCATACTGTACATTATGTTCCCATGCCATTCACTTTATAACCAGAAATCTGTACTGTATGACTTTTCACCATTTCATTCACCCACAACCCTTCCTCAGGCAAACACCAATTTGTTCTCTACATCCATGAGCTCACATTTTTAAGTTTTACTACAAATCTACTAAGCACTAAAACCAACCAATCTCATCCAAACTGGGAATAGGTTCTTTTATAATGTTCATGCTCTTCAAATTCATACTTACTGCTACTTAACACAACACAAAGTAATTCAGTTTATGTACATATAAGGATTTTATATGTGTGTGTCTATACATATCACACATCTAGTCCCCGTAATTAATGAGTTACTCCTCCAAATAAACATCCCTATGGACTACTCTTTTTTTTTGTTTAGCAACTTCTCTAATGGTGGTTTTTCAGATATAAATATGCAGAAGCATGTGGGAGATTACTAAAAGAACAGAGAGCTTTGGTTTGCTTTGGATCTATAGCATCAGGATTTGTGAAAGTGGAGCACAGACATACTGGTTTTGTTTAAAACCTCCTTGGGAAATTAGGAGACATTATTCTATTTCCCTTTAATAAATGCAAATAGACCATAGCTTCACAATGTCCACCAGCCAATCAGGAATGTGTATGCAAATTAATCCAGCAAAGATGGTGGGTTAATTTGTATGCACAGTCGCTGACCAACTGGGGCAGGGCAACACAAGCTTTCCACACAGCCCGAGCAGCTCTGAGCCTCTGGGCAGCATGGGAAGGCGAAAAAGCAGTTCCAGTCCGGATTGAAGGTGGTGCTGGTAGCCTGGGGAAGGAAGGCCCATTCTTGCATGAATCTTTGTGCATGAGGCCTCTAGTTTCTTATAGTACTTGATAAGACAATACATAATTATGAATGAGTTAAAATCTAAATTGGTAGTTAAATTTTTATATATCTAATATAAACTTGATGCTGTAATTTGTACCAAGGAGACTGCAATAAGATTCTCAGATAGTTTTGCAAAATAAAATGTGTAAGAATGAGCATAAAACAAACCAAAGGTCAATAATTTTATTTGAATATACAAGCAATAAACACATTTTTTAAAATTTAAAGTCCATTTTACAATAACAACAAAAGTATGTTAAGTACCTTAGGAATAAATTTTAAAAATGTATAAGGCCATTGCAGAGAAAATGTCAAGCTATATTTTAAAACCTTAAAATATATCTAAGTAATTTTAAAAAGTCAATGATGTTAAAGATGGCAAATCTTCCCAAGCATATCTACAGACTCAATTCAGTTTTAATAACAATCCAAACAGGATTTTCAATATAATTTTTCATTGAAATTAATTAAGAACTACAACTAGTTAAAAGATTGCTATGAAGAAAATTAAAAAAAAAAAAAAAACAGGCTCCAAATTGAGATCTACCTAAAACATATCATTAAAGTCTATAAATATGTGACAATGCATTCTGCACTATTCCTCCAGATAAATATGGCTAAAACCCTAGACATTCTATATAAAACAAGGTAGAGAAAAGGTGGTAAACCAGCTAGAGGCCTCAGAACCCAAGGAATCTAGGTTTTCTTTTAGCCTTATATAATAAAGTGAGAGTTGCTAAAGCCACCATACCCAAAACACTAACAGGTGTAAAACAACAACAAAAATGCTCACAGAAGCATGCTTCCTCTATCCAAAGGACCAGGAAAAGCGCAGCCTAACAAAACAGAAAAAGTTTAGACAGTAACTGCTCTACTCCAGTTGAACAGGGGGGGAAGGGTAGTGGTGGTGGTGGTGGGGAAGAGATGCGCTCCCCTTTCCCACTATCAGAGACTGATGGGATATCTAGACTTCCACCTTGCCGAGACCGGTTTGGCTCAGTGGATAAGAGCGTCGGCCTGTGGACTGAAAGGCCCCAGTTCGATTCCTATCAAGGGCATGTATCTTGGTTGCAGGCACATTCCCCAGTGGGGGTGTGCAAGAGGCAGCTGATCGATGATTCTCATTGATGTTTCTAACTCTCTACCCCTCTCTCTTCTTCTCTGTAAAAAATCAATAAAATATATATTTTTTAAAAATACACTTCCACCTTGGCCAAACAAAAACAGGGTGCCCCTAACTATTCCCTGGCAGGCATTATCAGAGAGCTCTGGTGAGAGCTGAAGCTTTGATCTCCATTAGGTTGTAATGAGGCCCCTTGCAGTCTCATTGGAGACCATATAAATGAATCTCACAGTTAATAGTAAATATATTTAGGTACTATATAGAATCTAGAGTTGTAGGTATAGATGGACTTTATTTAAATGTTTCAATTGCCTTGGTTGTCACATAGTTTATAGTAAAAGATCTAAAAAGTATGTTAGTCGGTCCTAGAGACCTGCTGAAAAGCAAGTTCTAAGAAAAAAAATGTTTAAAAGTATACTTTGCTTGAGATAACGTAAATATATAGTTAAGTATAAAGCAATTGACAGTTTAAACAATAACAAAGTTCACAAAATGTTCAGTTTCTGTCCTTTGCTTTGAAGATTACTTGCTGATGCACAATTATGAGATATTTTGCAGAATCTTGGTTTAGACTACCTGCACACAGTTCTAAGGTTCCAGACAAGATGACATCAGAAGCTAAATTAATCAGCTGAAACCAGTTTGGCTCAGTGAATAGAGCGTCAGCCTGAAGGGTCTGAAGGGTCCCGGGTTCGATTCCGGTCAAGGGCATGCACCTTGGTTATGGGCCCATCCCCAGTAGGGGGTGTGCAGGAGGCAGGTGGTTGATGTTTCTCTCTCATCGACGTTTCTAGTTCTCTATCCCTCTCCCTTCTTCTCTGTAAAAAAATCAATAAAATATATTTAAATAAAAAAAAAAAAAGGAAAACTAAATTAATTAGACTAGGGAAAACCACTGAAGGATGCACAAGAGTTAACCAATCAGCTTCACCTGTAATTCCCTGACCCTCAATCTTTGTCTTTAAAAACCTTGATTGAAAAACTCTGGGGAGGGAGGGTATGTATGGGAGGGGGGAGCAATGTTAAAATATGTACACAGATAAAAATTTAATAATAAGTAAAAATTTAAAAATTAAATTAAATAAATAAATAAAATAAAAACCCTTGATTGAAAGTGATAGCTTCCCATTTCTTTTGCTTGGCACCCTGCAAATAAACAGCTCTAACTTCTCCACTGGAAACCTCAATATGTAGAGAGCCTCCTGAGAAGGCATATGGAAATCTTTTATTTTTTATTTTTATTTTTTTTTAAATATATTTTATTGGTTTTGTACAGAGAGGAAGAGAGAGGGATAGAGAGTTAGAAACATCGATGAGAGAGAGTCATCGACCAGCTGCCTCTTGCACACCTCCCACCGGGGATATGCCCGCAACCAAGGTACATGCCCTTGACCGGAATTGAACCTGGGACCCTTCAGTCCCCAAGATGACGCTCTATCCATTGAGCCAAACAGGTTTCGGTGGAAATATTTTAATTCTTATCAGCTGAGCCCAAGGGCACTGGCAGAATCCTGTTATCAGTACTGATTTATTATTCCATGTGCTTGGAATGAGGAACAAATAGGACTTTGACTCACCCAGGTCTTGATATGCTAAATCTTATACCAAAAAATAAGGAGATTAACCCAGATTTTGATGAATAGGATCTGGGCACACCCGAAACTCCTTTTGACCTTAAACTCCCCTTTGAAAGCCAATAAATATGCTGTGTTGTCTGTGGTGAGTGTGACTGTCTCTCCATCAGAGAGATGGCACCCACCTAGCGCCCAGCTTTATGAATCTATTTCTGCCTCTTGTCTCTTACTTTTTCTAATTTTTTTTTAAATTTAATTTAATTAATTTATTTACATTTTTTTATTAAATTATTATCTGTGTACATATTTTAACATTGCCTCCCCCCCTTCTTTCTCTAATTTCTTAATCCCCAGCTCCTCCCGTCAGGAACCTGTCGTTTTTCCGTGCGGAACGCGGAAAAAGGAGAAACACCACATCAATGTTCAGTGTTTGGCTCTGCTGCACAATAGGCAGGCACACGCCTTCATTCAGTTTTGTTATAGGAGCCTGGACTTGCACCTCCATCATGGTAATGAGATACTCCTCCACCTCTATGCTGTGCTGGCATCAGAGGAGGCGCATAGTCAGGACCTTTATCACGTCTATCAGTCACCTTTCCCTGCCCACGTGCCCCCTCCTTAAAGGTGACAATGAAAAAAAGACACACGGAAGCAGTCAATAGGCACCCACACCCCTACCAGCCAGGGATGTAGTAACAGACACCCAGGGGTAGCTGTCCTCAATATGGACAAGGCTGTCCTACTGTTCCAATGTCAGAAAATAATAAATATAAGAGCAGAAATTAATGGAACTGAAAACTGAAAAGTCTATGAAACAAAAAACTGGTTATTTGAATAAGTCAATAAACTTAATAAGCTTCCAGCAAGACTAACAAGAAGATATAAATGACCAAGAAGGAATGAAAGACAGAATATCACTACAGACCAAAGGGACATTAAAAAAAAATAGGGGAATACTAAGAACATGACTCATACAAATGTAACAATGTAATGAACCAATTCCTCAGAAAGCACAAACTACCACAACTTACCCAATATGAAATTAACTTGAATACCCCTGTAGGTATATGGCAGTTGGTTCTAAACAACTTAAGTGCAAAACTAACAAACATGTATATGATTTATATGCTGAAAACTACAAAATACTGATAAAAGAAATCAAAGAAGATCCAAATAAATGGAGACACACAGTATTCATGAATAGGGGTAGTA